CCTGGCGCAGGGCGTCATTGTTCCGGTTGGCAGCCTCAGAGAGGTCCGCAAACTGTCAGGAAGAAATCAGAAATGGAGACGGCTCACTTCCAAGACCTCGCCCTCTCTTAGAAGGGCGATCGTCATTCTGACTCAGGGGTTCCTAGACTATGTCTAAGTGTCTGTTGGGAAAGCCAGGGAGAGAGACGTGAACACTGACTGGTATTTCTATTTTCAAACAGCATTTGTTCTACTGCAATTCTTTACAAGGGTCGGAGGTCAAGAGCTTTGAAGTAGAGTGGAAGACAATGAGTGGAAAGGGTGTCTGCCATACTCAAGGACACATTGTGAGTGACAGGGGCACTGAAATAACAAAGCCAGCTTCCGAGGAAAGCCGGAGGACATCGATGGAATCAGAGGCAGGTGTTTAAGAGCAAGAGGCTCTCCTATTGTTCCATCCGACTCATTTCATACCTTAGACTTGTACCATTCCTCTGCCTCCTGGAGGTTCTTGGCAGCCACACTTTCATACTGCTGGCGGACATCACGCAGGGCAGCGGTGAGGTCAGGCTTGGAAACATCCACGTCAATCTGGACATGCTGTTCCTGAATCTGGGCCTGTAGCTCCTGGATCTCCTGAGGAAAGAACAGACAAAGAGGGGTCAGATGTGAACAACATGGGTGCAGCATAGCCTTGTTCGCTCGCTGAAAGTGGTATCACTTACCTCATCATGCAGTTTCTTCAAAAAGGCGATTTCTTCTTGCAAGGATTCCACTTTACGTTCAAGGTCAAGACGTGCCAGAGATGCATTGTCAACATCCTGTTTTGAAAAGAGAAAAGATGATGTGGGAGTGCTACAGTTTATTCTTTATCTCATCTATTTATACAAATTCTTTTTTCATTCTATGTTATGTATATGGGTGTTTTGCCTGCATATATGTAAGTACACCATGTGTATGTAGTGCCTATGAAAGCCAGAAGAGGTTATCGGAACCCCTGGAAGTGGAGTTACAGAGTGGCTCTGTGGGTGCTGGGAATTGAACTCAAGGTCCCCTCGAAGAGTAGCGAGTGCTCTTAACCACTGACCCATATCTACAGACCTTTACTTATTCAAAAAGCTAATGATATGAACCCAACCTCCTTACTATAGAAAAGGTGCTGAAAATGTCATGACCTTTATAAATTTATAAATTATTTAGTGTCACATTATAATATACATTCGTAGCTATAAAAATAGTTCAAAAGCCATTTTGTTGTATTGAAGGTAACTAGTAGACAATTAAAAAATACATACATACATATATGTGTGTGTGTGTGTGTGTGTGTGTGTGTGTGTGTGTGTGTGCACATGACATGGTATACTGAACTCTATTGAGTCCACATTTCTGCCTGTAAAATTTCATTATCAGTTTTAAACTCGAAAATCAGTGTCACAGCATTTAATTTTGTTTTAATTTTGTGATGATTGTAGTTGATCAGATTCTACTACTCCCCGTCTGCATGAGTACATGTAATATAAAAATGTAAGGTTCAAAAAATAAAAAAAAATATTTTTTTTAAAGTGTGATTGGGGGCAACTGAAGAGATGACTTATTAGGTAATAGTATGCTGGTCTCTCAGAGGATCTGAGTTTGGTTCCCAGCACCCACATCCAGCAGCTCACAAAGGCTTATCATTCCAGCTCCTGGGCATCAGATGCCCTCTTCTGGCCTCGTGCATACCTGTACAAATGTGGCATACATTCACACAAACACAAACACATACACATAAAAGTCTTTAAAATATTGAGCTCAAGGGGTTTAGCACATATGCAAGCTCTTTTTCTCCTCTGTGTACACCTTCTGATGCTCATCTTTGGGATCCAGAGCAAGGGCTCAGTTATCTGGCAGCCAGGTTCCCAGGCTAGACTCACCTTAAGTAGCAATTCATTGATCACATTCAGGTCATGGATTTGCAGAGACATGCTCATCCGGCAAGAAGGAAAAGAAATGATGTAATCCTGAACTATATTGGTTTTACCTTCTCTGAATTTTTTTTTCTGAAATGCCCCCTGACTCATTATATAGGGTATTTCTATCTTTGTCAGCCATCATGTATCAATTCAGTGGCATTGCCTGTTTTAGTATGGTAGGGCAAGACACAATGAAACTAGATGGAGACTCTTTTACAGAGTTTATAAAGCCATCCATTTCAAGAACGTGCAATCTTGCAACTGAAATTTTGTTTCTCTTCAAGGGAATGTCAGGATACTTATGTTTCTTCTCTTGTGAACAATTGCATTTGTGGTGTAGTTTATAGCTTTACAGTCCTAAAATGTTGAGTTCTGCTATCATTTTCAAAGAAATACTAATTAATAAAAAGGAAATAAGGACTTGAATAGTAGAAACACTCATCTCTACCTTGCACTAAGTCCTCAAAAAAATGTAAACGTCAGACTAACCTTTTTGAAAAAGTCCAATGAAATGTGCCTTTTTATTTAAGTGAATGAAACAATTTTATTTAGTCCATAAATAAGAAATGTTGCATATTCACCCAATGCTTTGAAGGAAACATTCCTGGGGTGATGACTATAAACTCTCAGTAACTAAAATGAACCACATATTCTGTACTGCCATTAAGTATGAAAATATCTCTCAGCTTCAAAATGTTACCCTAGAGCAGTCATCCGGAGAGTTTTATAGCTGATCCTCATGAGTACTCCCAAGGATAAGACTGTACTGGCCATCTTTCTGCTTTGGTATGCTAAGGTAAAACCTAACTTTGGAACAATAACGAACAAAAATCCCTCCTTCATATAAAACTCCATTCTTCAGTCTAGGATTTATTTTTGTTTGTGGAGGGTTCTAATAAGTCTACAACCCCATAAAGAAGGCCCTTTCCAAATGTGGAGGACCGTAGCTTTAAGAACTTTGTACACCACATACTTCACAAGCTGGGGCCAGACTTAGATAAGGGATGTTAGCAAATACTTGTGTCAGTTGGAACTGTGGCTACATCATTACATATTCAATAAGAATGTAGCCTGTCGAAAAGCTGTTCTGGGAACACAAAGGCTCCTATTATTTCTGTCCAGAGCCATCGCATTTACCAGACCGTCGGTATCTACATTCCATAGTGAAGCCCATAGAAACCTTTAATACCCTTCAGCAGGGGGAACAGATGGCTTCCTTTCACCCTTGTGAGATTACAAAAATAGCTGTGCTGCGGCACTTCAGCTAACTTTCATGCAGGACCGAACTTCCAAGGAAGAAAGGGAACTAACTTGGCTTAATTCCAGTTAAACTTTCTCATCCTCCAGAGTATTCTGAATTTCAAACTTGAGGGCGCCACTGTGCTTTGTGTGACCTTGTGAAAGTTAGTTAGCTTGACTTTCACAAACCACAATCTAATCAAACTGTAACCATTCAAAATCAGGATGTCAACGTGTTTCAAAGAATGAGAGTGAAAATGTTTTGGGGGGGTAATAAGGGAGGCAGAGCCAGGCGGATCTCTGTGAGTTCGAGGCCAGCTTGGGCTACCAAGTGAGTTCCAGGAAAGGCGCAAAGCTACACAGAGAAACCCTGTCTCGAAAAACCAAAAAAAAAAAAAAAAAAAAAAAAAAAAAAAAAAAAAAAAAAAAAAAAAATCTGGAAACGAAGCAAAAACAAAAACAAAAAACCAACAATAAAAAACTTGATGTTGTAAGGATTGGCCTAAAAAATGGAGTTTTTCAATCCGTGAACTTTCTGCCACCAGGGGGCTTTTACACGTAGACGTGAAGTTTTGCACCTTTTAAATCCTGGGTAAAGTAACTTTTAGAACTGTGAGTGGTTTGGCTGGATGGGGCTGCTAGCTGCAAGTGAAAAAAACGAGCCTACAAACCTGTCTGAAGGACTGCAAGGTGCCCTCAGCTTCCTCTCTCTGGAGCATCTCCTCCTGCAATCTGAAGCAGTAGTACATTAAGCAAAGTGGAACTGGGAAACCGCCAGGGGCGGGGCGGCCACACCCAACCACATCCCCGCCAAGCCTCGAGGCCAGAGCTGCTGTGACATCTCCACCCACACCAGCGGCAGCAGCTTTGTTGAGTCCGCAGCCCTCTGCAAGTGTTAGCTAAAGTTGGGGCACAGCCTGAAAAGACAATCATGGCCCTTCCTAGACCTGCAGGAGGAACCCGGGTCCCAGCATCCCAGCCGCCCCTGCCATCTCTTTGTCTCCGATCCGTCACACCCATCCTCTCCTCCTGCCTGGTAACTGTAAGCCCACCAGAAGGGGCTAACAAACTTTTTAAAGTTCTGGTTCGAGTGGAACCAGAAGGGAAATGCTCACTGCAAAGTTTAGGTTCAGGGCGGGGCAGCTTCCTCTGCTATCCTCCAGACAACCACCGCCCTGGCCACATCCCCAAGGGCGTGGCAGCCCTCGAGCAGGGCCCAGGACTCCCCTCCCTCCCACAGCCCCACCGCTCGCGTGGGTCAGGCCTTACTTCTCTCGCAGCCGCATGATGTCCTCAGCCAGGTTGTCACGCTCCACCTCGACGCGGGCCTTGTCGTTGGTGAGCTGATCCACCTGCCGGCGCAGCTCCCGCATCTCCTCCTCGTAGAGGTCGCCCAGGCGCGACTTGCCCTGGCCTTTGAGCTGCTCGAGCTCGGCCAGCAGGATTTTGTTCTGCTGCTCCAGGAAGCGCACCTTGTCGATGTAGTTGGCGAAGCGGTCATTCAGCTCCTGCAGTTCCACCTTCTCGTTGGTGCGAGTGTTCTTGAACTCGGTGTTGATGGCGTCGGCCAGCGAGAAGTCCACGGAGTCCTGCATCAGCCGCACGCCGGGCATGCTGCTCCGCAGGCGCACGGCAGAGGACCGGGTCACATAGGCGCCACCGGGGGATGAGGAATAGAGGCTGCGGCTGGTGCTGGGGCGCAGCGCGCTGCCCAGGCTGTAGGTGCGGGTGGACGTGGTCACATAGCTCCTGTTGGAGCTCGGCCGGCTCGAGGTGCCGGGGCCACCGAACATCCTGCGGTAGGAGGACGAGGACACGGACCTGGTGGACATGGTTTCGAGGGCGAAAGTGGGCTGGGCTGCTGCAGCTGCAAAGACCGGCTCCGAAAGGAGAGCGAGGGCGCGGTGGATGCGAACCGTGGGCGCGCTGCTGTCTCTGGGGTCCTGGAGCAAGAGTGGCAGAGGACTGGACCCCGCCAAGGGCGCTGCTTTTATAACACTGTTAGGAAAGAGGGTCCCCTCCCACTGCCATTCTAGCCGCGGAGCGCGCCAACCAATGGGGACCCGGAGAGAAGTGAGGAAGGCGGGAGGGGGGACGGGGGGGGGGTCAAAGGGGGGCTCCCTCGAGAGCCTTCTTCCAGGACTGTCGGGGACCGGACACAGTCCCGTTACTTCTTGGACAGGGCTAGGACTTTCAGGGGCTTTCCGGATGATCACCCAAACTCTCCACTCACCCCTGGGTTCTAAGAAAGGAGGGATCTCGGGGATGCCTGGGGGAAGGGGAGCTCCGGAAAGTTGTGCAAAGTGGTCCCTGGCAGTGTGCCAAAGGGGCGTGGGACTAGGCGCGCCGGTGGGAGGGGCGCGGTCGCAGAGCTGCGGTCTTCTGGGACTGGGTGGGTGGGGAGACCTGTGAGCCGAGGAGCAGGAAGAGCCAGCAAAAGCGGTCCTGCAGATCGGAAGGCGGGGAGAGAGAAACAAAGAGCGCCTGAGATTGGGGCGTGGAGTAGAGAAGTACTCAACCCAAGATACCAGGCTCAAGGCCGGGCACTGGGGTCCTTTGCAGAGGGCTTGTTTTGGGCGGTCGTATCCCGGGACCCAACGGACTCAGTCCAACTCCAGAGGGTCAGGATCCACAGCCTCCCGAGAAAAGCCCAGGGGACAGGGGTGGGGTCGCTGAGTCAGTGGTGGTGACTCACCGAGCCCTGAGGTTGAGATCGTCTAGCGGTTCAGGAAACCGTTAGTTGGGATTGACTCAAGACTTCTAGAGCTCCAAGCTCATTGTCCCAAGTTTTTAACCAACTCTGAGCGTGACCGCGCTTTTGAGTGTTGTTGTGGAGACACCAGAGTGTGGTGAGTTCTCCCTAGGAAGAAACTTCGGAGAGCCACAGAACACATCCCACCCCTCCCAGACCGCAACGCACTCAGAAAGGCTTTTCTTGCTAAGTTCCCTCCCGCATTTCCCTCCCTTCTCTTCTTTCTGCATGAAACCACACCCTAAGTTCTGGGTGAAAGAGGAAACTACATTGGTAGTTTCAAAAACAAGCTCAGTGATCACGGCCTTTTCTGAAAGTGGAATTCATTAAAAGATAACCTGAGCCAAACAAGAATTCATTAGGTATTGTTTAAAAAAAAAACAAAACAAAACACGTCCAATTTGATGAATGAGTTCAAATGAAAGGCGGTTATGTAATTCAAGTGACAGGCTGAAGAAACTGATTTGTGTTGATTTTAGGGCAAGGATGCAGGGGACAAGATTCTAGTGACTGGTCTGGACAATGTCACAGATGGTTTTTTCCACAAGAATTTGTGAACTATAACTTGAAATGGAGACGCAACTGTCCACAGAACAAAAAGTTCAGACGGTGTTTAGATCCAGTGACTTGTCAAAAGGAAACCAACAGCTCAACTCAAGGCTATTGTTTCACGGTTAGCAACTAGGCAGGACTAAGGGGGTCTGTTCTCCAAGGGAGATGGAGCTTCCAGGGAAGGGAAGTCAGGCCCCTTGTGATTGAGCGACAACAACAATAACAAAATCAATCAATCACAGTTGCTTTGGGGGAGTATTTTGAGGGGTTATTATGGAGTACTGAAAGAATTAATCACAAAAGAACTGGGAAATGGGTCCAACTGTGAACAGACGAGGAGCAAGCTTGTGTTGTATTTCTGCTTTTGTTTTCCTTTGGGGCAGAGAATATCCCCAGCTTACCTGGCAATTAAGAAAAATGGCTGAGAGACACTTGAAGGATTTGTGCTTGCTTCTTTGTACAGGATTCTTTGAAACAATAGTGTGTTTACCTCATCTCAGTTAGTTCTGGGGAATGTTGCTGCCAAGGCTGAGGCTGCAGGACCCTCTGAGGCCCAGCTCTCCTACTGTGGCCTTCTTTATTCTCTCTTTCAGCCAGAGGCTGTGGGTCCTTCCCAGAGAGCATTCCTGGGGTTAGCCTGTGCCTCATGTTACCATTCTGTGCACTGAGAGCCTTTTATTCAAGCCTCTGTTCAGCAAATGTCACCATTGTGAGTTTGCTTGGAATGGCTCAGGATGAGAAAAGTGATTTCCCTATGGGGAGGAGGGAGCGGAGCCCTTCCTCCTACATGGCATGTTGATTCCAGGGCAGCGCAGTGGCTTTGTCAGTGGACTCTAGCTGAATGAGTCACTGTGGAAAATGAAGACTGGATTCTGGTGTGGTGTGGCAGTGTGCCATGTGGGCACCCACAGCAAATTCCTCGGGCTGTGATGACTTCTTCAGTAGGCTCTGGTCCCCTTCATCACCTGAAGGGTATGCCTTCTATCTGGCCAGTTTCCCTTCTGTAGTTGAGGGATGTCTATGAATATTCTCTTTCTACTGTTGGTATGTTTGCTGATATCTCTGTAATGGATGTAACTGTGTATTTATTTACATGCATGCATTGTTCAATTTCTTCTTCCTTTTAGAAGTTTTCAGGAGGTAGAGAAGTGAAAACTACTACAAAAATATTTTTACTCATTCATGGAGGAGTGGAGAAGTCATGAGACTTGGGGAAAATTTGCTTTATTATATACATACACACAGAGAAAGAGAGAGACAGACAGACAGAGAGAGAAAGAGAGGCAGAGAGAGAGAGAGAGAGAGAGAGAGAGAGAGAGAGAGAGAGAGAGAGAGAGAGAAGACAGAGAAAGAGAGGCGAGGGGTGGTGGTGGCTTACACAGCACCCTACCCAGTAGATGATACTCAGAAAAGATAGAAATCAGTATGTTGGAATGAGCCTCTTCACCATCACTCACTATTTACTTACTTTTGAAAGTAAACAGTCTATGAACATAGCTTTCTCAGTTTTCATATTTATTTTTAATTGCTATGAAAGTCTATCTTAAGTATTTTTAAATGCTGGACTTATGTGTGATGCAAGTTTGTATATAAATAAGTGAATGGTCATATGATCTGTAGGCCAGGCCAAACACTATCACATGTAAAGTACTAACAGTGATTTTGGAATTTGCAAGCTTTGGCCATGTCAGCTGAACATGGTGACTTGAGTTGACAGACCAGCCAGCCGTGTGGACAGGAGCTTAGTGGCCTATGAAGGCTTTGGGAAAGATGCCCACAGGAAGTGATGTCAAGAGGACTGCAGCTAGTAGAACTTCTGGGTGAATATTAAGCACGAGAAGGCGGATAAAATGAGGCATAGTGATTCAAACCTGTAATCCTAGTACTTGGAAAGTGGAGGCAGCAAGATCAGGAGTTTAAGGCCTTTTTTTTTCTGCATAGCTATTTCAAGGACAGCCTGGGATCCATGACACCCCCTTCTCCATCTAAACAAACAAAATACTCACAAAGGCATAAATATCACCTATAGCATCCTATAAACATGCATAATAGCTTTTATACATCAAAATATCAAAGAAGCCAAAACCTTGGCAACCCACGTCATGAGAATGAAGATAATAAATCATACAAGTGTTTTAATTTTTATACTTACTGGATGGTAGGCATTGTATGTACAGTGAATTCAACTTAAAGCTGCTGCAGCATCCATCAAGTTATATTTGACCATCCTCTCAGGCAGATAGTGTCTTTTCTGTTTGATTTCATGGTGATAGTTATCATACCATCAATCAATTCAATTCATGAATAAAATTTAGGCATTTACTACATCCTAGAAACTAAACAGGCAGAGTGATTACTTACTATCTCGCTGGTAGGTGCCAGACTCCTAGAGGAATTTGGCACAGTTGGAGAACAGGTGCTTTGCCACTGAACATGATTGATAATGGTTGGGATTTGTTTCCACCATCACTCAAAATGCATACCATTACTCAAGGATTAAACATTTTCACCTAAACGCTGCCCTGTTTCTTCAATAGGATTCTAAGTAACATCAGACAAAGCTCATCTCGTACCCTAAAACCCACCATCCTCAGCAGCTTCCCCAACTTCACTCCTTGGGGCACTTGGGTGAGGAGACAGGACTGGAGACTTCGCCACTGCCTTGCCTTTGCATCTCTGAGGCCCAGTGGGCTAGTGTCCCGCTGATGCCTGAAGCCGCATATCTATTATGTTGCTGTCACTCAAGTTCAGGTGTTTAAGTCGGTTGTATCTCCTTCCTGTGATGCTACAGCTGGTTTCCGCTTCATCCAGATATTCAGTACTTCCACCAATGCATCTGTCTTGAGCCTTAACCCCCTTTTCTTAAAGATTTTCTTTTTTAAAATTCCAAGATGATGTAAGGAGGATTACTCATCCCTTTGCTAGGACATGGGCGCTGTGAGATGACAGTTTTTTCACATTTCTTTCATTTTTCTGTTTTCAGTGGCTAGAGGAGAGCATTGGTTGAGTCTGTGACTGAAAGGGAAGGGAGTGAGGCTAGTATTCAGTGGCATTTATTATATTAATTCAGTACACTCATCACTTTTGATGTGACTGAGTTCAACATGTATGGGAAGTTGTGATCTATATCTTTTATTAATTTATTCAGGATATATTAATTGAATATTTAGCCAGCACTAGACATGCTGCTACAAACTGGAGAAGACAAATGTGGGCCGTATCTCCTTGCAGCATTATATTGAGTCTGTGTGAGTATATGTATGGTACAATAGAGACAATACTCAAATAAAAAAATTTAAAGCTTAATAAAAGACCATGATGCCCACAGATTAAAAAAAAAATATTTGTTTTTTCCCACTGTATCCCATGCTTCTTAGTAGAGTGAAGTAAGTCAGAAACTTTTCCGACCTGTAAGAAGCAGGTAAGAAGTCAGGGCTGGTGGTTCATGCCTGTAATCCCAACACTTGGAAAGTGGAGGCATTAGGCTACATACCTAGTTCAAGGCCAGCCTGGGCAAACTCGAGTCTGTCTCAAAAAGAAAGTAGACTGTGATGAATAGTAAATGAGAACTATGGTGGGATATGAATGAAATGCTGGAGGGTTTAGCTGAAGAAATTATATCAATTTGAGGGAGATCAGAAATTATATAAATTTATATATAAATTATAAAATTTCAGATTATATATAATAAGATATGTTTGAAGAATGATGTGGTTTCTACAACAGGTCATGGTGGAGAGAGTATTTCCCAAGCTGGCCAGTTAGCATAGGCAAAAACTGGGCCTTCTAAGGAACACCGAGAAGCTCAGAGTTGCTCGACTGTGAAGCGGAGGTAGGGGGAAGGGAACTGGAAGCTAACATGGAACCCTGCGTTGGAAGGCCAAATGCCAGAGAGAGGAGTTAGTTGGTAATTGATGCAGTGGGCAGTGGGAATTCACTGTGGTTTCTGAGAAGAAAGACGCACTTTGTTGCTGCATTTTAGATGTTTGCTATGGCATGTTGTTGAGGATGAACGGGGTAGACTGACTTGAGAGCTGTTCGTAGTAGATCAAAGGAAACTGAAGTGAAGGTGATTGATTCACAGAGACTGGAGTTAGAGGAAAGATAGAAGCAAACGCGATTCTGAGCTTTCTGGGCAGGGTAATTAAGAGAATGAGTGTATTCTTGGCAGAACAATTTAGGTGGGAAATTAATTTGAGGAAAATGATTATTCATTAAGGTCTCCCACCAAGCAGGGTATTTACTACTCTAGTCAAGGTAGATTAAAATCTCGTGAAGGCGAGGGAGGATTATTTTCATTCTACATCATTTCTTACCCACTCACAGGAGTAGTTCATGCTGCTTGTCTTTCACTTCCTCTTGTCTGCGATCAGTGTGTTTGGTTGCCATGGCCACGATGAAATCGTGGGTGCTTCTGCTATCTCTACACTATTCTTAAAAGAATGGAGGACAAAGAAACTCCAAGATACTCCTCTAGAGATGTCGTTCAACTTTGGGAAGGAAAAGCAGGTAGTTTTCCATAGAATTATACATAGTCTAACTTCTTAATCATCTTGCTACAATCTGGAGTAGAGGAGAGAAGGCAGAAAGTGGGTAGACGGAACAAAACCGCTAGTTGATGTGTAGAGTGGAAACCGGGTGTAGATACCAAGACAGTCCCAGCAAATGTTATAGGGGGAAGTGCAGCTGGATTCTCTGAATTTGTTCACTTATTGGGGGCGGGAGGTGGGGGAGGAAGAAGTAGAAGAGAAACAAGATTAGGGAGCAAAAACCTCTGCCAGCCCAGTTATAAAATTGAAAATCCGGGCTGGAGAGATGGTTCAGCCATTAAAGGCTAGGCTCACAACCAAAATAAAATTGAAAATCCATTTAAAAGAGCCCTAAATGAAACTATTGCAGTATAGTTACTTATCCAGACTACTGTAATAAAACTAATACTTGTTTGTCCATTGGCTTATAGTGTTGTTTCCATCATTTTTTTAAAGATTAAGGAAGGGCCAGAAGTTAACATCTCCCAGGTCAAGCGGCCTTGGCTGCGAGACAGGGCTGGTACAAGCTTCATCCTGTACCAAGGCTTCGTCTCTGCAGCAGTTGTAGGATGATAGAAGTCCAAAAGGAAGCCACCCCCCAAGAAGAAGACAGGCACCCTAGAGACCCAGTTCACTCGCCCTTTCTGCAACCCCAAGAAGTCTTGTGATGTGAAAATGAACTGTGCTCGTAACACTGGAGTCATCCCCTGTACCGTACACCTAAAGGAATTCCAGACACCTGTCGTGTATCTGTCAGACCCAGTGGGTGTATACAGCGATTGGATAGATGCTTGCAAGACAGCCAATCAGGACAGCAACATCAAGGACCTGTCCCCTCAGCAGTCCCCCACCTGGGTACCAATACAGAGACATTCAGGGCTCCAGAGTATAGGTCCAGGGCTGTGACAGTTCTCCCTCTGTGTGCATGGAGTGGATGTGAATGAGTAGATGTCTGTGTGGCTGCAGATATGGCTGTAACGGTGGTCCTGGCTGCTGGTGGATAGGGTGGAGGTGAGGGGTTGCTGCGTCTCACTGTACTGCCCAGGGTAGCCTCAAACTTCAGAACCTTATGCCTCAAATGACTCCGAAAGTCTTTGAGTTGCTCCCTTCTTCAGCCTGCACCCCTGCTCCCAAGCTTTAGGTTCCAGGCTCCTCTGGTGAGTTTCCTGACATCTCAGGCAAGGAATAGCTGTGGGACCTCCGGTCTCCTCAGCCACCTCACAAGCACCTTGACCTTCGGGAACTGGACTTCCCTTCCTTCCTAGTCTCCTTGGGCTTGTGGTCTGGGAGTGAAGGCTTTGCCGGGGAGCCTGTTTACATCTTTATTTACTTTTGTAGAAAAGGTGGGGGCTGGATCGGAGACAGAGGTCACTCACAAGCCTGTAAATAAAGCAGCCAGTGTGGGGGCGGGAAAAAAAAAAAGATTGGGGGAAAATGTCATGCTAGTCTTAGAAATCTTGCCAATTACATTGGCATCCTGGGAAATTGCTACTTTGTGGAGATCAGATAATTCCCAAGTGGTAGGAGGTTACTATTTTTTTTTTTTTTGGAAGTATTTATGTAAGAGATCAGGTAATAATAAAATGGATGTGTTTTGTAGCACAGTTTTCTTTTACAGAGCTGAAAACACTCTTGTTACTTTATTTTTGAAAGTTTCATGCACATATGTACTGTACTGGGGTTATATTAACATTCCATTACCCTCTGCTATAACCCCTTCCTTTCCCTCTGAACCCCTTCTAATTCCCCAGTGGCTACAACATGAAAGAAAATCGTACCCTCTCCTCCAGTGACAACCAAACAGCCAACTGTTCCTTAGAAAGAGATGAGCCCCCATGGGCACCTCCTCTATCAATGATGATATGTTGAAGAGACCAATCTTATGCAGATATCCATAGCCTCCTAGTGTTCATGATTGCAACATCCGTGTCATATCTGAGCTTTCTACTTGCTGTCCTGTGATGTCCCCTGAGCTTTAGGGGACACAGATGACACAAATGTTCCATTTAGGGCTGTGCCTCAACAGTTGCTTAATGTCAGCACGTTGTCTATATATGAGTTTCTGCATTAACTATCATTCTTTGCAAAAGGGAGCTTTTCTGCTCCAGATTCAGAGTGACACCAGTCTCTGGCTATAAATATAAATATTTAGAAGACAATTTGACCATATATCCTTTTAGGGATACAACAGTAGTTACCCCCACCTCTTTCAGTTTATGAGATCTTCTGATACAGCCTTTCGGCCAAGCTTATAATACCAGGTGTGTATTCCTTCCAATAGAACAAGTCTCCAGTCCAGTCACAAAATTGGTGGTTGTCTATCAAACAGCGGTGCCACTATCACACCGGTACTCACATCCTGCGTGGTGTGTCCGTATTGCAGTATGCACGTTCTATAGCTTGGTGATGCTGTTGAGTTTTGTCCCCAAGCCGCCTTCACATCACCTTTGTGGCAGGATGAATGCTCATCAGCAGGGAGGGAGTGGTGCTGGAGTATTTTTGGCATTCTTAGCATAATAGCTATCTCTTTGCATCTTTCCCCTGCTCTGATGAAGCAACAGGACTCATTTTAATTCGGAGAATGCTGTGCCTTTACCGAATCATCACAGAATTATGGACATTTTGAGGGGATTTCTGTGTAAATCTCATATTCTACTTTTGATTCAGCCTGTCAGAATGAGTTGATAGTGATGTCACTTGATTCCTGCATACAATTAAATGAATAAAAATGTTGGCCCATATTTGTTAATGGAAATAAAATGAATGGGGCCGAGTTTGAGAGTGTATTGCTTCTACAAGCAAGAACACCCCTGTTGTGTACCCACTCTCTGTTCGTTTGAATGGAGGGGGAAATTTTGAATGTTTTAGCCCTTCAGGACACTAATACTGAGCAAGCTAAGAAGAATGCAAGAGCTGCATGAAATGAGAGGAGGCTCGAGAAGTCCAAGGACAATCCGGAGTTTTCAAGGTCGAGCCAAAGCATTACTGATAAAACATGTAGGCTTGCTATCCAGTTTTAATGTTTTTCTCATTCATCTCGTGGCTTTTGTATATCAGATTTTTTTCCTAAATAATGCTTATTAACATTTGCTTCATTTAAAAAATAGAGCATGGTTAAAGTATTGGTCATGTGGGAGAGACAAAGGCAGCACCTACAGCAGTGTGAAGGTATAAATCAAAGGAAAAGTACACGTGCATATATTAAACACCCATTGAATCCTAAAGCAATAATGGCATGGTTACCAACAGGTTGGGTTGTCCTAAGAGAACCAGAAACCCTATCCTGCTGATAGGGTTTTGAGTACCTACATGTTCCAGGCTCCCTGCTGGCTGCTAAGGACACAGACGTGTTCTTAGAGACTGTGTCTTCTACGTCCCTCATTTCTATGAAATAATTTGTCTCTAAGACTTGCATAATGATGTGGCCACATTGAGCTCCAAGTGAGTTTCTTCATAAAGTCAGAAGGCCCTAGGGAAACAACATTGACTTTTACTCCCCAAATCCATGGAAATGTAAACTTTACTGTTTTGTCCTCCTTTGCAAACTACAGTGTGAGTTTTAGTTGCTGGGTTACTAGCTCAAACACAGGCTCCCAACTGCAGCCAGGGAAGTGCAGTTAGCAATTAAGTAAAGGAAATGACTAGTGGGTTTGAAACCCAACTGCTGTCCCATTCTTCACTTAGTGAAGCATCTCCGTTACCCAGACAACTTTTATCACTAAGGAAGTACTTGTGACTCATCCTCATACAGAGTGACTTATTTAAAAATCTGAGTTCACTACCCTTATCATTATGTCTCTCTTTTCTTTTCTTTGGACTAAGGCAGAAAGAACTGCATTAGGATGGCATATTATTCATTGGCTGACCCGTATGGTATAATGCAATGGTCCCATGGTGACTGGAATAAAAGGTCAGTGGTTGTTGCAATATTCACGTGAATGTTTTAATGTTGTTACTAAAAACTTATTTCCTGACAAGAGATAAGATAACATTTCTCATCTATTATTTTGTACTGATTGTAATAGTCTATTTAGTAGTCATATTTGTGATAATTAGAATGCAGAATTGTTTTATTACATAGCATAAAAGGCCTTATTTTCCTCCACAGAGATGAAAAATGGAATTAAAAATCTCCTCTGGGTGGTGTCTAGAGGTTATAATTACACAAAGAAATGCTAAGGGTATTACTTTGCCAGACTTTCCAGAATTTAATCTACCTACTTGATTTCATAGATGTTGCTTTTTGACTATTGAGAATTTTTTTTTCTGTGAAAAGCTGTAGAGAAGTTGTAGAAAAATTATTATTTGAAAGAATGGATCCATGTATCTGGATAATTACAAGGAATTTTTTTAACTACTGGCAGCTACAACAAGCCAACAGCCAAGGATGTGAGCTGGCTTTTGAGCTCCCTTCGAGAATCCTCGGGCTTGGGCTCCGGCGTTGCTGGGGGCGTTGTGGGACCAGCCTCCGGTGTGGCTAGGGTGACTGGCCTGAACGGCTGTTGCCTATCAAAACTGATTTCAGGAACCATGTTGTAAGATCCCGAGATCTGGACAGTGTCACTTTAGCATGTATCATGGTGCTTTCCCTGTAACTCTTCTGTTTCTAATTTGGTGGCTGGAAAAGCCTGAAAGAGGCAATGCGTCATGACAAATATTTCTCTTTTTCTTCCAGATAGAAGCTTCCAGTGTGGAGCCAAGTCATGGGGTTGACACGTTGCTGTGTCTTGCCATGTGAAGCATTTTCTGGAGGGAAGCTGTGAAAAGAACCCTTGTGGGGTTGGGGAGGGAGGATGTGCTAGCGCAGTGTTTCTCAGAGAGTGGTACCCTGACAGTCAACATCAGCATCACCTAGTGATTTGTTAGAAATAGTCCCCACCATCCCAGATAAACCTGGGTGGGGCAGTACTCCGTATTTTAAGAAGAATCAGTGTGATTCTCAGAACCTTGATCACAGTGAATCATGGGTGTTTGCGGTCATATAGAGTATGAATCATGTACTGGTTGGAGATTGAGGGAAACTGGTCAGTCTTCGCTTATGAAGAGAGAAGGAAATGATAAAAAAGGAAGCACTGGGTGGGTGTCACAGCGCTTGTCTGCAATCCCAGCACTTGGGTGATAAAAGCAGGAGAGCCAGGAGTTCAAAGCCAGCCTCTGCTACATAGTGAATTCCAGGACAGCTGGGCCATATTAGATAGCCCCTCTGTGTGTGAGTGTGTTTCATGAATTATTTGTTAGTGTGTGGGTTTGCACACATGTGTGCACATATGTGTGCAAGCTGGAGATTCCCATCAGGTGTGTTCTTCTTTCACTCCCACCTTATGCTTTTTGAGGTGGATTCTTTCATTGAACCTGGAATCCATTGATGCAGCTAGACAGGGTAGCCAGTAAGTGCCAACAGCCTTCTGTCTTAGGCCTCCCACTCCCAGCACTGGGACCCCAGGCAAACACAGCTATACCTGACGGTTTATGTTGATTCTAGGTGTCTCAATTCAGGTCTTCAGGCTTGCCAAGCAAGCATTTAATCTTCAGTCTTGCAAGGCAGGCAGTTCACTGACAGTGCCATTTCCTCAGCCCCCAACCCCCATTTCAAAAATATAAAATGTATTTTTAAAAGGCATTAAAATTTTGAATTCAAAATAGAAAATAAATAATAAAAGTCTGGCCTTTAATTGCTTGCATGAACCTCACAGGGGGCAATCAAGATGAGTAGGTTATTACAACATACACTACGACATGGTTCTGAAATTGTAGAATAATTGTTCTTTTAAGAAAAGGCATTCTGCCAGGTAGTGGTGTTGCACATCTTTAATCCCAGCTCTTGAGAGGCAGAGTTAGGTAGAGTTTGTGAGTTTGAGGTCAGCTTGGTCTACAGAACAAGTTCCAGGACAGCCAGGGCTGCACATAGAAACCCTGCCTCAAAAAAAAAAAAAAAAAAAAAAAAAAAAGAAAAGAAAAGAAAAGAAAACAGAAAAGGCATTCCTTTCCATATTAGGACAGAAATCTAACTCAGCTTTATAAAATCCTATATTATTCTTATATTCCACTGACTTAGCCAACTCCATCTGTCTCTTGAGACCCCAGTTTCTACATCTGAAGACCACATGCTTTACTGTTCTCCATGACTTATCTCATTGGAATGAGACAGGGATTCAGTGTGTGTGAGAAACACTGTGAAGAATTGTGAGTACCAAGCAATGAAAACCATAAAGATTGAGAAAAATTTATATAAACACTGATGTTGAGGGAGTGATTAGAAATTGACCCAAAAGGTACCTGCTTATTTTAATTTCCCTGTGATCTATACGACTTTAGGGTTTTATTTGGTCATGAACTATTTATTTTTTTACTGTAATTTTATGAACTTCCAACTTTCATTTCTCTTTAGTGAAAGCCACTCACAGAATCATTGTGAAAATAAAATTAGATGAGTATGAGAAGGCAGTTTTGAAAATGAAGACATTACCATTTTTAGATATTGCCCTTGGGATCTGTGTTATTTGATGTGTGGGTTGAAGAAGGTTCATAGATGTTGACGTAATGACATCATCCAAGAGCTGGGACTAAGTATGCACATCAGCAGATTTTATGATTACAAAGATTATCTGTGTGCTAATTCAGCGTCAGTGGAATGTTTCAATTTTCTTATGAAATGGGGGAGAGCCACATTGGTTTCATTAAAGACAGTGAGTCTAAAATTAGTATTGTTTCAACTGGTAAGTATGTTATCTACTCTTTCAGGAAGAGTTGGGGACTTGAGATGAATTTCAAATAAAACAGCAAACAGGGATAGCTTTCAAAGGAAAATACACACACACACACACACACACACACACACACACACACACACACACACACACACATATCTATCTTCCTGACATACCAGGAGGAAAGAAGAGGTCTCATGCAACTATGTGGTTAAGAATATAGGGTTCTCAAAAAAGTATCATAAACCAATATGGAAGACAAAACTAGATATTTATAGAAAAGTTAATTTCATTTCATCGCTTTACATTAATTATGCATGAAAATCAGTTTGTTAAACAAGAAGGAGAACATAGACATGAACTCTGCTCATTTTTCCGAAGGACCTCCTACACTGAAACAGCAAAGGAGTAGATGGCCAAGGAAAAGTATACAGATTTGACTCAGAAAATGAAATACTCTTGCATCATAAAACATAACAAGCCTAAATGGAAAAACGATGGAGTGGGGATTGTTTTTAATATGTGAACAACCATGTGAAAAAACAAAAATTAAATGTGATAATTGAATAAGAAATGCATATTATTCCAGGAGGGAAAGGACACATATCACAAGCAATTGACAATAGAAGAATTTCATATGATAAATGAATAAGAAGCCTTGATGTCAGTACACACAAGGTGAATGAAATATGACTTGTCATCTTTTAGCATGTAATAGAACACATTTAAATGGATATAGAAGACAACAGATCCCTGGCATTGCTGGTAGGATTTAGGGTTCTTTTCTCTCTTGAAATCGGTCTGTTCACAAGTTTAGGAAATAATTATTTTTTTTTACATAGTCACCCCAATTTTAGAGTATCTGATGAAACTATCAGAAAGCTTTGAATGCTAATAGTCAGGAATGTTCCTTTATACTGGTTTTTGTATAGAGAAAATTTCCTAAATATTGAATACTAAGAAAATAGGTAAATATAATTTTTGGTTTTTTATGAGTCATCAAAACAAAGTGAAAAACATACTCAGAATATGTGAAATTGATTGCCCCGAGAGGATAAGACACCATCGAGGTTTATAGAAGATGTCCTTTTATTTACACACTTATGTTATTTGTTTTATCCTTCACAACAGGCGGTTAGGATAACATTTAAAAGTTGGTGTGTCTAGTGAAGTGCAGAGCCAATAATGATAAAATGTGAAGGGGCTGAGGTATGTGTGTGTGTGTGTGTGTGTGTGTGTGTGTGTGTGTGTGTGTGTGTGATTATGCATAAGATTCTGATTTGTGTAAAAGATAATTAGTGCAAATTAAGGAGAAACATCAAAATGTCAGCCATAGGCTTCCCCCACCTCCTTTTCTCTTCATATATGTTTCCCTATATTCTAAACTATGTGTGATGGCATGAGTGTTCTATTACTATCTACACATGGAGATAGATTGGGCAGATGACAGACTCTGGGATTCAGATTGACCTTCCCACATTCCAGGCATTTCCGGTGTGTGTTTATCAGCCCTTTTAGGAGATTTTTTAAAAAGCCTGGATCAAGTTAGTGATATTAAGTATCTGCATTTTCAAAACCATACATTTGCAAGGATATATAGGCAGTGTTCTTTTTCTCATTCGTTCCCCACCCTGTCCTAGGATTTGTTCTCAACTGAAAGGAGTTCAGAAAGCTGTGCCCTGCAGATTCCTGACATTCCTTCCTAACCAGAATCATCTTGAACGGTTAGTGTGAAATTCTTCCTCAACATACACGCTACGCCTCTTCCTTTGTTATTGGGTAGCGTCCATACTGTTTCATAGCTAGTGCTCTCATATTACTTTCTTCTTTAAACATCTGACCATGATTTGTAAATACATCTGTTAACATGGTGGGCATCAATTCATGTGACATTGAGCAAATCACATTTTCTTCTTTCATTCCTTTTGTTTTCTTGAAGTGCTATGGATCAAACCCATCACCGTGCACAGGCTATGCAAACACTGTACCACTGACCCTCACCAGCCATCTTCCTTTTACATTTTTATGTGTGTTTACTATTGTCCCCACTATCACTGTTATTATTCCTTTTGGAGACAGACTCTCATAGCCTAGGTTGGCTTGGATCTTGCTATGTAGCCTACGCCTCATAGCCATCCACCTGCTGGAGCTGGCAGAGTTCTGGGGTTACAGGTTTGCACTGTCACACTAACACCTAGCCTTTTTTCTTTCTAAAGATCACATATTTTAAAAAGTAAAAATAAATAAATAAATATTGATTAATAAACATTTTAACCCTCTCTCTCTCTCTCTCTCTCTCTCTCTCTCTCTCTCTCTCTCTCTCTCTCTCTCTGTTTCTCTCTTGGTTTTTCGAGACAGGGTTTCTCTGTGTAGCTTTGGAGCCTGTCCTGGAACTTGTTCTGTAGACCAGGCTGGCCTTGACTCACAGAAATCTGTCTGTCTCCGAATACCGAGTGCTGGGATTAAAGGCATGCGTCACCCACCACCTGGCCTTCTCTATCCTTCTTTGAAACAAATTAGTCAATATCGTCTGACTTAATATCAGCTTATTAGTAGAACATTCTTCAGCCATCTTTAGAAATGTAGCTGATTTTAGCCACTCAGTCTAAATCCCTTTGGGGAATTTAGATATTTTAAGTTGGTAGCGACTTCCTAAGATGGAGAGGAGGAACTCAGAGTCCATCGCAGGAAAAAATTGATTCTGTGAAATAAGGGTTGACAGTCTCTGTGCAGCAACTATGAAAAGCAATTTTGAGGAAAAGCTCTGTTTGTTTTAGACTTACGTAGGTTACTTGGAAGGATAAACACATCACTTTTAACAAATTAAAACAGTTGCCAGCTTTTCTTATATAGAGTAGATGGACGTAATGAAGCCAGGTCTGAGGAAGTGCTGTTGCATTTTAATTGTCTTATATAACTGTTGGGGCATAGGCAAATGATGCCAAACAATACTGCTGTGTATCTAAACTGATACCCAAAAAAACAAGGGCAAAATAGACAACTCCTGCGTAGGATCTTTCCTCGGGTCGTCGTTTGTCAATTGTGATGATGTAGCCATTAAAACTGAAGATGAAGACTATGAAGAACAGAAGGTTTCATGGAGTCTTGTGCACATGTGTTTCTTTTTCCACACATGGCTGTGTCTGCATGTATGCTGGTCACCTTTAGTGAGTTCCAAATGCTCAGGTGGGTTTACTAGAGCAAAGAGGTGACAGCTCTTGGAGCCATTAAGCTCCGTTTTCTCTAGTTCCAACATTTGCCATATTTCCCCGCTTGAAAGAATGAAGGCTGTGATAGGGCACGATAGCAGAAGACGTCTTGTTAAGTAGCTCGCAGATTGACATCTTGGGGATATACTCTTGGGGCAACATGTGTCGCGTGCGTGTGTGTGTGTGCGTGTGGGTGTGTGTGTGCACGCACATGTGCATACTGGGAATTGAACCCAGGGCCTGGTGCATGCTAAGCAAACTATTACTCTGTCACTAAACTATTCCCTCAGAACACAATACACTCCTTTTGGCAATATGCTGAAGTATTATTAGGAAAGAAAGGACTAAGTTATACGCTATGGCAAAGTCGTTTAGGAAATACAAAGAGGACCTGTAAGATGGTTCAGCAGGTAAAGGAGCTTGCTTCCAAGCCCAAGGACATGAGTTCAATCTCAGAAGCCTACACAACGGAAGGAGAGAATTAACTCCTGCTGACGGTCATCTTATTGACACTTGTGTGGGTGCTCACGCACATGCACTCATACATATCCACATCCACACACACCTAAGTAAATACGTGTAAATAAAATAAGACAGCTATGGAAAAGATTCTGGTGCATCATGAGCTGGACTTCCAGGTTTTCCCCAAAGCTGTGGCATCACGTATGATTCACAAGCTTTCAGAGTCTCCATATTTTTATATCTACAGCCCAGGTTGGATTAAATCAGTGATTTACAATCCAAGTTCCATGAAGTCATTTATTGATAGCCACAGGATGGATGAGGTACAAGAAGTGATCAGGTATTGTTCTCAGTGTGCTAGTGTTAGTGCTTCAACAGCAGGGTAGGTGTGTGTGTGTGTGTGTGTGTGTGTGTGTGTGTGTGTGTGTGTGTGTGTGTCTGTGTGTATTTTGTCTCTTTGTGTTTGTATGTGTACATATGTGTGCATGTGTGTATCTATGCATGTGCTTGTGTGTGTCTGTGTACATGTGTCTATATGCATTTGTGTATCTGTGTGCATGTGTGTCTATGTATACATATGTCTGTGAGTGTATATCTGTCCTCGTGCACGTATGTTCCTGTGTGTGCCTCTCTGTGTGTGTGTACATGTGTATATCTGTATGTATTTCCATGTGTGCACCTGTTCTGTTTCATCATGTCTGTTCTACTCTCTACACGGATTCTAAATAAAAAAATTCTTTTGAAAAAAAAGTTCTATCTCTAAAAAGTAGTGTGAAAAACACTGGACCAAATAACTGTTAAGATTACTTCTAGCTCAAACTTTCTGTGAGCCTGTGAAAAAGGGTTTAAAGACAGAATCCCATTATTTTTACTAAAACGCAATCCTTAAAATTTGCATGAAACATTTTTCAACTAGGAATTTCAGAAACATCAAAGAACAAAAGCAGTATCATAACCTATAACCAAGGTAAGCAATCAGGCTTATGGTTTCTACATTTTTAGAGAAACTGTAAGTTTCCTTTGGAGTCTACCTTTTAAAAATGTATTGCTTTTTCTCATTGTGGGAAGCAGGAGATGGTACTATTCACAGATGTATGTTGTAGAATATACTTTTCAACAGGAAATTACTTATCCTTAAAGTCATCAGGAAGTTCATTTTCCGTCTGGTCTTTTTCTTTTGAGAGTTTATCCTGTCCCGGATAGAACACATTTTCTTTCCTGTTTCTTTTCCTAGGTGACAATCTATCAACAAGGCGACTGGACACTGGAAATGAGATAGAATGTTTAGTTGAAAATTTTGCTTTTGAATTCCTTTTTTCCGTAGTTTTTGAGATCCTTATTTTAAAACCATGTTTAGTTTCTGTTCTATTGTTATGTAAAAATACTGACTAAAAGTAACTCATGAGAGGAGAGGATACAGTGTGTTTATAGTTCCGGGTCATAGTCAATCATTGAGGAAAGTCAGGGTAGAAACTTGAGCAGAAACTGGAAGCAGAAACTATGGGAGAAGGCTGCTTGCTGATTTCTTCTCAGGCTCATGCTTATCTGGCTTTTTTATACAGCTTAGGACCACCTGCGCAGGTAATGTTGCTGCCCACAGTGGGCTGGGCCCTCCTGCGTCACCTAATAATGAAAACAATCCCCCACAGACAGGCCCACAGGCCAATCTGATCTGGGCAATCTCTCAATTGAGACTCCTTCTCTAGTGACCCTAGACTATGTCCAGTTGATAAGTGTTCAGTTGACAGACAGTGTTCAACTATTAATTATTGGTATTAATATGAAATATCATTTAGTTTCACAGTTTCAGGTGATGGGTAGCTGGAGCCGTGGCTTTGACGCTGAGGTGAGGGAGAGCATCATGGAAGTGGGGAACATGAGGAAGCTGTTCACTTTATGGTGTCCAGGAAGCAGAGGAAAGATAGGAAGGGACCAGGAACAAGATGTGCATGTCAAAGGCAGAAACCCAGTGACCCATTTCCTTCCACTTAGTTCTTACAACCTAGTGGTCCATTTACCTATGAACAGTCTACTGACAAAGTTAGCATCCTCATGTTCCTATCACTTCACCAACAGGAAGCAAGCCTTCTACACAAAACACTTGGGGCTATTTTATCTCCAATCAATAACATTAGGCTAAGTATTTTAAATCCTTATTTAACCTTGAAACCATGTGTTCTATTACTGCTACATTTTTTATGTCCACTTAGTCTCAGAGAGGTTAACTGACTTTCCTCGAACCACACTGGAAGGAAATGCAAGGCTGTCCTTCCCATCTATATGCTGGCTCTTGAGATTGCTTTCTTATCCATAACACAGTTAGTTCATCATAGAACCACGTCTTCAAAGTCAGCACAGAGGCATACTCTAAAAGAAACTTTCGAACATTTTATTTGAATATAATTTCCTCTCCTGAGGACATTTAGTGTTAATTTATTCTGAATGATGACTTTTCCATTTCCTTTGCAATTGATAAGAGCCATTCTTTTTCGTGTAAACCAGAATGCTCCTTGCTCATTTCTGAAATTGGCATAAGCAGGGTATTGTCTCTTGAGATGTGAGCCTATATAAGAATCCAAATCACATTTCACTTGCAAATAAAGACTCACTTGAATAACAGAAACTCAAAGATGATTGCCAAAATTATGTTGAGCATTTGGCAGACTTTGGTGAGTTTTGATATATATTAGTGATGGGCAGGAGAGAAAGAAGGATTCTAAGACATGCAATGAACTTCCTCAATGATTGAGAGTGTGCCATTATTATTTTAATATACTTCGTGGTATTATACTGTGTCTTTAATTATTTATGATATATTTTACATATATATATATATATATATATATATATATATATATATATACACACACACACACACATCTTTATTTTTTTGGTGTCCACGTACATTGATTTAGAAATAAATTTTAAGTGAAAATTCACTAAAAATTCCAAGTTTTGGTATTTGTTTCTACTTTTAATTTTTTCCCTCTTTCTACTAATCTTACGTTCTTATTCAGTGAATTCCAATTGTGCTGCCACTATCCAAGCCTCCCTATTGGCTCTCCAAGAACATGATCTGTACCCTCAACTGGACTATAGCGGGCCTACCATCTACAAGAGTATCATAAATTATTATTGTAAAGTTTCCAGTCTTTCCTGAAATGTACGAATGCGCATGTGTGTCCATGCATCCGTGCATGTGCATGACAGTGTGTGAGTAAAGGTCAGAGGACAACCTGCAGGGTCTGTCTCTCCTTCTACAATGTGGGGCCTGAGTATTGAACTCAGATTGTCAAGCTTGGTGGCAAACCTTTACCCCCTGAATCATCTGTTTAGACCTACTTTCCATTCTTGAAGTAACTATTACATGTGATTAACTTTAGAGAAGAAATATTATGTTAAGAAAAGACATGGTTCATGTAAGGTGATGACTGTGCCAGAGGAAATGGAAAGGGATTAGTTTTAGAAACAAGGAGATCTACATTTCAACGGGTAAGGGAGCTGGTGTGATTGAAATGGACTGGACTTTCTATCCTAAGAGTCTATTAGGAAGGTTCCATGAGATTTCTTGACAAGACAAAGAACACAGCAAAATATAAGCAGAGAAGAGATGGGATATTCGGGGAGTGCCAAACAGTTACAATAGCAGAGACCAAGAAAGAAGAGGAAGTTAAGGCCACATTGTGAAGACACTCACATGTCATTGTCATTACTGTGTCACCAGCCAGTGTGAGGTCTGTCCCTCTGTCCCTCAGGAAGGTATTATTTTCATTAACTCTGCCATATATGTATGTACTGCCTTTCCCTACAGAGTAAGATCTTCGGTCATATTTACTTAGATTTACAGCTTTACTTAATGTATTGGTTGTTGAATATATATAAATATCCAAGACTATATAGTTTCCTTTACATTTTATGCATGGTATTTATTGATGATATTTATATTATATAATCAATATTAGAAAAACTTTTTGTTAATTATATGTTACAATGTACATAGTTTCTATCAGTTGAATTGGTTAAATACTCTATTTTCTCAAGATATTTAAAAAACTTTCTGTCTAGACATTTCAATTTGAACATGGGGCTAAATCAGAGTCCACTTTTTTCAGATACTATTCTAAATTCAACCATGGTATACTGGGTCTGCAAATTTCTCAGTAGCCATCTCTTCCCTCTTCCTCTCCATTTTACAGAAGAGGAAATCAGGTTATCTCAAAGTCACCAGCCAGTTACTGGCAATGCCAAGGCTAAATCCTAGTTTGGTGTTATCTTTCTACCACATAACACCCTTTCTTATCTAAATAAATGGCCAACAAATGCAGAACACATGAAGGACAATGTACACTGGTTATTTAAAAACTTAATTTTATAGATCACAGCAAAACCTATCAACCAATTCTAAAATTCAGACATACCAGCGTACCACCCGGCAGGTTATTTTTTAAAATTTATTTTTAGAACAGTAGTATTTGGTTTTTAACCATAGGTCCCTCAGCTGCTTAGTTTCAGGTTCTTGGTCACCCAAGGAGTGCCGGGTATGGGTTACATCTTGTGGAGTGGACCTTTAGTCAATGAGATGTTGGCTGGCTACTCTCACAAAATTTGTACTACCATTGCACTAACATAACTTGCAGGGAGGACAGTACTGTCAAAATCCAAAGGTTTGCACCTGGGTTGGTGTTTATGTTTCTACTTTGGTAGGCGGAAGAGTACCTTCTTGTACCAAAGAGGCTAGCACACAGAGGTTTAGGCTTTATGTGAGTACCAGCTTGACTCCTCCATGTTCAATGAGTTGTGTAGGTGTAGTCTTCAGCAATGGGGTCTTGCTGTCAGTTTGTGGAGAACAACTTAGAGTCTTGGCAACAGCCTAGTTTGTTTGGGAGTTTCCATGAGAGTCCTTTAGCCAAAATGACTCCTAATGACATTCTGTTATACTCATAGATGAGTGCCTTGCTCAGCCATCATCAGTGAAGCTTCCTCCTGCAGCAGATGGGAACAAATACAGAGACCCACAGCCAGACATTATGTAGAATGAGAGACCTTAGAACACTCAGCCATAAATAAGATGTCTTCATCAAATCTTTTCCCTCGGGGATCAGGGAACCCCCATAGAAGAGGAGATGGAAAGAGTGTAAGAGCCAGAGGGGATGGAGGATACCGTGAAAACAGGCCTTCTAAATCAACATGGTGGACACACATTGAACTCACAGAGACTGAGGCAGCATGCACAAGGCTCGCATGGGTCTGTATCAGTTGGGGTTCTAGGAAATTGGACACAAGCCTCCATCCCTAACCCAAAACTAATTTCCAACTGATAACCACTTGCAAATGAATATGTAGTTTCCTCCAAGGGAGTCTCACTGGGGAAACAAACTACTCTTAAGGGTAGGCTGCACGCCCAGCAGTAGATGGTCAATGAAAAATGAACTCAACAGCATCTTTGGAGTTTCCTTGTTTCATAATGTTGTATTAGGATTCTTCCTTCTTTTTTTTTAAAATTTATGTTAATTTTTAAATTTTATTTATTTTTTCTTCTCTCTTTTTACCTACTACAGGTCCTTTGCATATATATCATTGTTCCCAGTTTAGTGTTTTTATGAGTGTGCAAATGAGTAGGTCTGTTGCTTGTGCCTTCTCGTGGGCTCTTTTCTTTCTTTTTGCTTTGCTTTTATCTTATTTTATTTTATTATTATCCCACAGAAGCCTATTTGTTTTCTAATGAGAGACAGGAAATGGGTGGATCTGGATGGGGGGGGGCGGGAACTATAATCAGGATATGTTATGTGAGAAAAAAACATATTTTCAATAAAAGAAAAAAAAACAGCATATGTTGGAGTATTTTCCAAGGTAAAATAGAATTAATCCTATTATCATTTACAGAAAGCATCCTCTTTATTATTAATGCACCCCCAGGGCTCTGGAGCCTTCTTGGGAAGAGCCTGGTAAGATTTAACTCCGAAGTGAGAATCATACCCCTAGACAAAGTAGCCAGGATTTAACTCCATCCTCTAGCACAGGCACACCAGGGAGCATGTGGGTATGTGCTCAAGAGTCCTCAAAGAAATGCTTGATCAAGTCAGACTTCAAAAGAACAAAAGGAGCTCGCTGTGAAAAAACGGCTCTAATCAGTAACTCACTTCAAAGCCAACGGCATTTTTTTCAGCTCTCTACTGACAGGTTTCTTTCTCACTTAAGGCCACAGAAAACAACAAACAAGGAAGATAAAGCACAAATCAGGCTATGGAGCTGCTGGCTCTCACTTGGGAGGCTTTATTAATAGTTGTCTGTCCTTTGTCCCCTTCCTCACCCCTGCCATCCCCCAGGCTCCAAGCTGCTCTCTGAGTCTTCCAGCCTGAGCAACAGGAGGTTGGGGAACTGAAAAGCAGCGGAACCAGAAGCGAAGGGAGCGGTGCGGACAGGGGGTAAGAGAAGCGGAGGACCGGTAGGCCTAGTTTCCAGGCCGCGGTCGCGGTTGCAAAGGGATGGAACCTCTGCGTGTCTTGGAGCTGTACAGTGGCATTGGTGGCATGCACCACGCGCTGCGAGGTGAGAGCGGACAGAAAACTTCTCGTGGATTCCCTCGGGGCCGCAGGATCCAGCTCTTGCGTCGCCGAGGGGCGGAGCGGCGGGGCGGGTCCTGGTGGCCGCCGACCTCGGTTGCCCTGGAAACCACCTCAGCGCCGCCCCGGTCCGCCCCTCAAGGCTGTGGCTCCCCTACTCTGGCCCCAAGCTTTGTAGTCTGAGCAGGCTGGGTGCCCCAGAGTGCTGTTTGTGAGGGAGGATCCTTGGGCCTGTGAAGTCAAATGGATTTAATTTGGTTGAGACAAAGTTAAGGGAAGAGGGTGCCCTTTGCCCCGTGCCAAGGCCCAAATTCTAGGCTGGCTGTCACTGAGCCTGGAGGAAGTCACGAAAAAGGGAAGGGGTAGGAGTGGGGGTGGGTTGGAGCAAGGCAATAACTACAGTTCAAGATAGAAATTTACAAGTATTAGGATATAGGGGAAGCGAAAAGGGGAGGGAGTGTGGTTAAGTCTGTGGAAAGAAACGTGCCTTCTGCAGGCCTACACAGGTGCCAGGGAACTGGGATCAAATTTTGCAACTTTGGCTTTACATTTTCGAACCTGTTACTTGGTTTTAAATGTGTAAAATAGAACTTCCAGAAAGGGACATCAAGAATTAAAGATAGAGTAAGGTGACTGACACGTTGTAGCTCTTTAGAAATTAGATTGCTGTCACTTTCGTTTTGAGGCTGTTTAATTTCTTTGGTATCTACCCACTTTTCGTGATAGTGACTCAAAAACACTTATTTTGTGAACTCCATTGCCATGTACTGTATGACACTTGTGATATGTAGTGAAACACATTGGATATGTGTGTGTGTGTGTGTGTGTGTGTGTGTGTGTGTGTGTGTGTGTGTCTATTCTGAAGTTGCTAAGGCAAACACAAAACCAGTTTCTCTGCTTCCCTTTTTAGTACCTTGAGTAACAGGAGGCTAAGAAGCATACAGTATCTAGTGGATTGAGCTTGTACATTTTTTTCAGCAAATATTAATTTTTGAATCTATATTAGGTTAGAAATATTGCATACTACTTACTTTTTTGGTCTTTACATTCATTCATCATATTTAAATTAAGCAAATTAGGGAAACGTGTACTATCTGCTTTATTAATTTTGCAGAGCATATAGTGTTACTGTTTTCCCCATATCTTAAAATTTTTTAATTAACACAATTTTAAAAACCACTCAATACCTTGTTAATAAGCTATACATAACAACCACTTACATTTTGAACTTGTAGATTTCTCCTAATTCTTTTCCCCAAACACATTGTGCTTCAAATAAGTCCTTGAATGTAAATCATGATTTTTTTTTCTTGAAGTGTGCTTATGAATTTTGGATTAATTCATCCAAAAATGAAAGCTAGAACCGCAGTCATTTCTTATCTGGACTCTAAGCTCTTTTCTCTGCCTGCCCAGCTGCCCTCTTGTCTAGGCTCAGTGAGCTCAGTGGGCTTTCTGTATTCCTTCACTCTTCTAAGTTCCTTCTTAGTTCTAGCCTTTGCTTTTGTTACCACTTGGGGTATTGCATACCCAGACTTGCCTATGATAGCTTTTTTTCCCCCACCCATCTTATGTTAGTACTAAGTAAATGTTTTTTCTCCTGCCCCCCCCAACTGTTTTCACTGTGGTGTTTCCTCACTGATAAAATAATATAAAAATCATGGTAACTTTATAACATTTTGTATTATAGAGTTTGAAATGCTAAGTTAATATTGATGAAAGGCATATGCATCTAAAAAGAATTAACCATTGAGCAAACAGGACTCAAAGTGACACATTGAAAGGGGTTTTCAGAAGTTAGTTTGAGAGATCTTTATGAGTGATACCATAATTGTTTATATATTATATATGTTACACACACACACACACACACACACACACACACACACACACACACACATGGTATGTATGTGTCTGGGTGTGGGTGCTAGAAGAGACCATTAGAGGTTGTTAGATTTCCTGATGCTGGAGTTACAGGTGGTTGTAAGTCACCCAACATAGGTGCTAGGAATTGAACTGGGGTTTTCTGGAAGAGTAGTAAGTGCTCTTAACCACCGAGCCATCTCTCAAACCACTATAATTGTAATTTATGGCAGTTTTGATAGTTAACTAGAGATGGAATACTGTCTTGTCCTCTCCTATAGTTTTCATTGACTTTTATCTGAATATGTCAAACATTGTGAAATTATTGATTATTGAGAAAATACCAGCAAAGAACATTGTAATATTTTATAGTGGTGGGACATTTACCAAATGGTTCTGTTTCCTCAAAGCAAATTTACAAAAGATATATTCAGAGTCTTTGTTGTTGAAGTCTATAATCCTCTGGATCCCATATATTTGAATTACTTGTTCACTATTTACATTGTTTATTTCCTTTGAATTCTGCATGTGAACATTAATTGATTTCCTGTCTATAAAGGACTGTAAAGAATTGATTTCCTGTCTATAAAGGACTGTAAAGAACTTTAACTTGTGGTTTTTTCTTTTCATTGAGTCGATGGGATCAAGTCATGCATTGAGTCACCATTGTGGATGTGTGTGCTCACAGTCTAAAAAGTGTGCTTTGAGAAGTATCTTTTGTTGTTTATCATCAGTATTTTCCTCATATTTCTCAGGCTCATAACAAAAAGACCATTGAATTCTTTTATTTAAATATCAGAAAAGTTAATTTGTTCATTTGCTTTGTACTGATTGTGAAAGTAGTACATTTTCTGGGGTCATGATGGGGCATGCCTGTTATCCCAACCTTCAGAATATGAGCCAGGGGGATAAGGAGTTTAAGGCTAGTGTGAGCTACATGGTGAAATCATATCTCTAAAATCAGTTTAGACCTAATAAAACAAACAAACAAACAAAGCAAGAAGTAGTTCATCCTTACTGTTTTTAAACAATTGAATAGTACAAGGAAGCAATGATTATATCTCCTGCAAATTTCATCATGAATATAGCCTCTGATAACATTTTCTGTTTTCCCTGTTGTGATATGTGCAAACCACCCACAGAGACATCAACATGTGGTTCATGACTCAACAGGATATTCTGTAATTAGCTGTGGCAGTGAACAGGATGATTTTTACTTGTATCAATAGCATGGATTGTCTTTTAAATATAACCCTTCCCATACATGCATGTAGTTTACATGTATATCTTTTTACATTTGTCCACATTTTTCTTTAGTACAAATTTCCAGATAACTAGGTCTAATAACTAGAAAAATTTGTAGACTGTAGAACTGAAAATATTACGCATTCCTTAAAAAATATCGGAGATACCATTTACAAATAGCCCTCTCAGTATTTACTGTATTTAGTGTCCACATACAGAAATAGGTTATGGAGTTGCTCTGTGATGAAGTTCCTGCTTCCATACTTGAAGAATCCTTCCTTCTTAACTCAGTTTAGGATACCTGGAAAATGTTCATTAAAAGATGTATTTTTGTTTTCAAATGTGTAGCTAGTTGATTAATCAGGTTGTTGTGTTGATGGTGCTCTGCCTTTGAAGGTGACGTTTAAAATGCATTTCCTCATAGGAGCAAAGATGTGTCAGTGTGCATTCACTTGAGTGGCTAGTAGAAGTGTTTTCTGCAAATGACAAAACTCACCCAAAGTAGTTGGCATAAAAGTTTTTTTTTTGTTTTTTGTTTTTTCGAGACAGGGTTTCTCTGTGTAGCTTTGCGCCTCTCCTGGAACTCACTTGGTAGCCCAGGCTGGCCTCGAACTCACAGAGATCCGCCTGGCTCTGCCTCCCGAGTGCTGGGATTAAAGGCGTGCGCCACCACCGCCCGGCGGCATAAAAGTTTTAAATACAGATTCATTTAAAGGCAGACTCTAAATTTGGGGTAGAACTTGAAGTAATGACCCAAATCATGTCACCAGGAATTAACATCTCAGTTTTACTCCACATGGATTGGGTGTATGCACAGCCATCCTGGATTTTGATGTGAGAGCTGGGGATTCAAATTCAAGTCCTCATGGTTTCAGAGCAAGTACTCTTACTCAGTGCACCATCTCATGAGCTCCCCAGCCCCGGACCATGTAGTTAACAATGTAGTTGTTAGAAAAGCAAATGGACAGCAATTGTAAAGGAATTTTCCTCTTGCTTTAGTTTTCTGCTTCTGTGAATTTGGCACCGAGGTCTGGGTCAAAGAATGGCAGGTCATGAAAGATGATCTGAAGATCCACCCTCTTCTCCTAAACACTCAGTGAGTCCTGGGGACAGAAAGTTTCATTAGAAGTTTTTTGGTGATCTATCTTCCTGCAACTTAGACAAAACAAGTAGTACATATTCTGGGGCGGGCTGGGGGAGGATTGCCTCACCCCTCCCCATTCTCTCCTGTCAGCCTGTGGGTTGATAGCAAGGCCAGGAAAGTTTTGCTTTTCTCAGTGCTCTTCTGAGATCATATTTTAGTCAGTTTTTACTTAATATTTATAGTGGAGGTAAAGCCTTCTGGTTACTGTTGTGAAAGCTTTCTGCTTACACTACTCTAAAATCTCTTAAAAGTACTTCTGAAATTTGTCTCTGTATAGTTACAACTTAAACTTTCTCAAAATCGGCCTAATTTCCTTGTAACACGAATCTTAAAAGGTCTAATTAATAAAAACGAACCCGGAGCTAGGTATTGGGGTGAACGCTGAAAGATCAGAGAAACAGAACAAGCCACAGCTAACCTCACCTCGCCAATTGCTCAGCTGATCTCGTTTCCTCAAACTGGAAGCCTCTGTGTTCTCATCTGAATGGTTCTCAGCTGAACTGCTGCTAAAAGCCTAAAAGCTTAACCAGGCTCTAGTTCCTCGTCCTCACGCCTTAAATACCTTTCTGCCTTCTGCCATAACTTCCTGGGATTAAAGGCGTGTGTCACTATGCCTGGCTCAGTTTCTAATGTGGCCTTGAAATCACAGAGATCCAGGTGGATCTCTGCCACCGGAATGCTAGGATTAAAGGTGTGTGCACCACCATTTTCTGGCCTCTATGTCTATCTAGTGGCTGTTCTGTTCTGTGACCCCAGATAAGTTTATTAGGGTGCACAATATATTGGGGAACATAATATCACCTCATTTCCTAGCTTTAATAATGATTAAAAACTAAACCATCCTCATTATCACTATTTTGTCTGTAACTTTTTCAGATAACTGCAAAGTGATGAGTGGGATTTTTAATAATTACCAAGTATCTCCTGTTGCTAGAGGTTTTATTGACTCTATTTCATTTATTTTTAATAGGAGCCCTTTATGGAACTGTTTTAAATATTCATTTCATTAATGAGGAAATTGAAGTTTAGAGAGGATGAGTACATTTATTTCCCAACACTGTGTAGCTCCTGGGAATTTCAACATGAATTTCTCTTCCACTGTTTCCCCACTGTACAGTGATGACTCTTGCCAGGACATCTCTTGATGACCCTGGTGATTACAAGCTCAGTGTGCATGCCGGCAGCCAAATGCAGCTGTTTACATTTCAATTAAGATGAACTTAGAGAAAAATTTAGTTCTTTAGTTGTACTGGTCTCAAGCTAAATGCTTAATACCCACCCATACGTGTATCATACCAGACTATGCAAATATGAAATGTCCCTGTTGTCATCCATTGTAGAGTCCCATTGGATGGAGGAGCTGTTTTAGAGGAACTCTTAATTTCAGCTACCTATATTTAGAAACAGAAATTTTAGGGACAGTGCCTGCCCTGGGAAGTTAACTCCTTAACCCTAAGGGTTATCTGTCTAAGGACTAAGGTAGTGTCGGTGCTGCGCCTCACATACTCTGTGGCCTTGACAGAAGTGGCTCTTGAGTGACCTTTCTCTGTTGGTCTTCCGAGGAGAAAGCTCCAGGGCATCACGAGGAGAAGACAGGAGCGGGTGGGTGTGGATGGGGCCTGTAGTGGCTCCCTCCTCTCAGGAACACAGCTTTGGTCGGCTTTCCCAAACACTTCCTGGAAATGAACTTTGGTGCCTCAGTTTCCTTTCTCAGGTTCCCCTCAAAATCCATCCATGCTTTATTGAACTGTGCTGTGTTTTCTGATGTGATCTCTTTACTTTTTGTGCCTGTAAGCTCCTTCACGTGTTCTTTTTTATACAGTAACCTGCCATCTTTCTCTCTCCCATGTCGCTTCTCCGGATCTTCTCTGTCTTTCCACATTTTGTTGAAAAATAATATTTCAACAGTTGTAAGATGCAGTGTCCGTGGCATAATCGGACCTCAGTCCACACATTGAAGTGTATTCCAGTGTGGCCTTCTGTACCAAGTGGGATGTTAGCAGCAGTACTCTAAGGAGTGTCTTGACCCAGAGTAAACATGGCTGTTGATTAGCTAAACTTGTAAGGCTTTCAGAGGAAACTATGTGTGTATGTGTGTTGGAGGAGGCTTAGTTTTTATTTTATGTGTAGAAATAATTTCTTAGCAGTGTCTAGACATGCAAACAACTTTTAAGAAAAGCCAGGAAATATATTTGCTAATAGCAATAAAAACATGTTAAAGTGATTTTATGTATGTATGTATGTATGTATTTATTTTGGGAGGCATGTGCCACATGTTCGTTTGTGTGGGGAATCCATTCTCTCCACTGTGTGGTTCCTGGGATCAAGTCCATGTTGTCAGGCTCAGCTGGCAAAGATGCCTTTACGTGTTTCAATGGCCCCAGTTGACAAATTTTTTAAATTAAGTCTTTATAGTTCCACTTCTACCTAGCGTTTTTATTCCCAATGAAGCTATCTCTGAATGAAGACTAGACCTTGGGTATACTCATCTGCTTCACCATTTCACAACTAGAGGTCAGTGTTAACATACCTACCTGATTAAATGTCTCAGGTGTGAGGTTGAGGCCACTTAAATATGTGTCCAACGTTTTATGAGGGCCAGATCAGAAAGTAGATGATAAAGAAAGACAAAAGTTCTTAAGAACTATTTATTTCAGTGTGAACTGCTTAATTCTACATTTGAATTAAATAAACTATTGATATTTCTCCATGGAGTAACTATGCATGAGTTTATCTATTAGGCCAGGTAGAGAATGAACTTGCACCTTTTACTACAGGCTAAGTTCTTCCCTACAGCTTTTCCAGAAGCCTTGATTAGAAAAAGAAGGAAAACTATTGCTCTTCAAAGGTAACTTCAGTCCTCAGAAATGGAAACATGATGTCCTTGTCATCTCCATATAGACCCTGCCTCACAATGTTCACAATAGAGTGCATTGTGTTTCTCTGTCAGAATGTCTCGCCTTTCTAAGAAACTGTGCTCCCTATTAATAAACATGAAATCCAGCATATTAACTGAAATGTCATGGATAAATCCATGCACAGCCTGGGATCAAACTCCCTCTACTTCCAAAGGCCTGCTGGGTTCCTCTCCCAGTTCTAGTTCCTGTGAGAATTACTCTTGGGTCTCATGTGAGAGAGCTCACATGGGCACAATTCTAGAGCATTCTTTCCACTTGGACATTTTCAACTTGTCATTTTCAAAACGTCTCTGCTGCTAAAAGGCTTTTGGGATCTGTGGATTTAAAATTTATTAGAGAATATTAAGATGGCTTTCTTTGGATTCTAGTTTAAGACGTTGCCAGGAACTGATCGGCTTGCTTTTTCCATTGTTACATATAAGTTTAATTTCTCCTTAGTAGCGTACCTAAACACTTGTTTTAAATACCTAAACGTACCTAACAATTTTTTAAAAAATTAAGTTGAAGTTAACATCAGTAATGTCTTAATACAGGATGAGCATCCTAGTCTAAACAGCAAACTGTGAAATGCTCCAAAATGAAAGACTTTTTAACAATCAACTTGATGCCACAAGTGGAAAATTCCACTCGATCTCATATAATTTGTTGGAGTAAAAAATGCCCAGAAACCAAACATTGTTTGGTGGCCCATAATTAGGGCCAGTGAGATGACCTCCAGGCCATATGTACAAGGCATAAAGGAGATAAATTTTGTGTTTATTCTTGGGTCCTACTGTTGAGCTATCTTGCTATGTATATGCAGATATTCCAAAATCTGAAACATGCCTGGGGTTTAGATACCCTACGTGTGTGTGTGTGTGTGTGTGTGTGTGTGTGTGTGTCCTAATACAAATAACTTTTTTGATAGTGTGGTAGGTTCCAATTTTATAACAGTTTAAAATCTGTGCATCAGTCCACAAGAACAGTGCATTTGCTTATTGACTTGAAAACTCCATTCTTTTCTGAGAATTCCTTTCCAGTTCATCAGGCTTTGGATCTCCACATGAGACACCAATTTGGCAGTTGCTTTTTGTCAGGTTTTATGTCCTCCGGCATATAATACAAGAACATAAAATTACTTATTGACTATGGTATGGATTCAGCACATGATTAGATTCTCAGTCAACCTGAAAAAAGATGAAAGTCATGTTAACCACCTCCAGGCCATCCTGCCTGCTTCTGTGGGGAACTGCAAGCAGGCTGCACCATAGAGATTGTAATTTATCTTATTTAGCAAAGTTGAATTCTGAGTTCTCATAGTGATTAGTGACTTGAATTAGTAAGTTTTGTGATTTTTTTTTTAAAATTAATCTTTATATACCTTTTGGCTTAGAAACCTTTTTGTTTTAGGTTTTAAAGTCTTTCATGCTTTTAAACAAAGATATAATTTATAAACTCATATCTTAAATCAAGAAACTAGTTATTAAATTTAAATTCAGCCAGAGGCAGCCACCTGTGGTATTAAGAAGTCTAGGGCCCATGTGCAAGGCACAGAGGACCATCCTTTTCCACAGAAAGGAAGTACCTGGGGGCATAGCTGAGTGATTTGGGCCTACCAGACAGACTATTTACTTGAGACATTGAAGTCCCTCTGTTCCCTTGAGCCTGTCTTTGCTAGGATTCCGTGTCAGGGTGCAGTGACTTTCTGAGCATGCGTCTTTCTCTGCCTTTTGTCCTGTGATCTCTGCAGGCGCTTAGATCCTGATTTTCCTTCTCTTAAACGTCTGGACCAGGGAAAGCTGATTGTTAATCAACAAAGGGCTACTAAAGAGAGCTGTTTGGGTCTGCTGGTGATCTCATCATGTTAATCAATGATTTTCTCAAGTTTCAGGTTCTTTTATGTTTAAAATTCCCCATGTTTCCTCTTGATTCTGAACAGGGTCTATGCATAATAGATTTTGTACTTGGTTGGAGGTAACAGGGTGGTAACCATGCGGTATAGCAACAGCCACACTTATAGAGTTCACACTTTTATTACAACCAAAAATGTGTTCAGATTCTTTGTATCGTAAGCTGTGTTGAAAATGTGTTTCCTCAGCAGCAAGGTGTACCTTAATATGAGCATCTCTTCCTCCGCTGTCTCTTATATGCTGTCAAAATTTAAGTTTTAGGCTCTGAACCTTTTACATTTGGACACCAATGAATTTACCTCACTTAAAAACTAAACTCTAAGCAGGTTGATTGTGTTGTGTGTAAGTTATATCTCAGTGAAGCTGTTATTACAAAATAGCATATATTCAAAGCAGTTTCAGTGGTATTGTGAATCAGCTTTTTCTAATACAGGAAGGTGAGAATACATGGTCATTTATTTATATAAGGTTCTGAATAATAGGACTTCTAGAGTGTGTTATAGGTGTTCCTGTTTTTTATTTAACTTGGAAAACTGTGTTTGGCATAAACGTGTGGTTTAATGAGAAAGGAAAGCCATCTCCTAAGACAACGTAAGAAAGTTGAAATCTTCTTCCAGCACTCAGCAGGCTGCAGGAAGCAGTGCTGGCAGACCACTTCCTGCCTGTTCCTCCTGCCTGCTGCTTTATCAGGGTCTGAGGTCAAGCTGGGTAGCTGAGGGGCAAGTCAGTGCATGGCTGAATTCTGCTCTTTCAGCTTTTCTTTATGGTGGGCTGATGCTGAAGACCTCTGAAGATATTCCATTTATCCTTACAGAAAGTGGTATCCCTGCGCACGTGGTGGCTGCTATTGATGTGAATACTGTTGCTAATGAAGTGTACAAGCATAATTTTCCTCACACACACTTACTGGCAAAGACAATTGAAGTGAGTATATATTATTATTATTATTTTAATACATATAATAGCAGTGAAAATGCATATTTCTAACAATTTCTAAATACTGGTTTCTGGCAGCTTAATTGGAAAATAAATCATGCAAATGAAAGTTTAGGAGAAGAGGAATTAATGTTTGAAATTCTATCAAAAGAGGGAGTTTTATTTTTATTAAGAAAAATTTTTAATTCATTTTACATGCCAATCAAAGATCCCCCTCTTTCCTCCTCCCACCCCTCCAGCCTCCCTGTCCTAACCCACCCCCTCATTCCCTCCTACATGAAGGTAAGGCCTCCCATGGGGAGGTACATTTAGTAGAGGCAGGTCCAAACCCCTCCCCCTGCCTCAAGGCTGTGTGAGGTGTCCCATCATAGGGAGTAAGTTATTTAAAAAACCCACTTAAAGAGTGAGATCAGTATCTTGCTTTCTGAAAAAAAAAAAGATTGACAAGAACATGCTTAACTTCCAGATGCTTGGTTGTGTGGTGATAGTAAACTTTAATGGTTCACATTCAGTTAATAGTTACATAATACTTATAGCACTTGGTAACAATAAGGAAAGGCTTCCTAGGCTATTACTTTTTGAATACTTGTTAGCAAACTTGTCAGAGTTAATTTTTTTTCATCTATCATGGACTCTGTTTTAAAAAGAATATGAACAGTAGATGGCCAACACAAAGTGAACTCAATGGTAGTTTGGGAGATTTTGTCTTATAATGCTTTGGTTGGGATTTTTTTTTTTTAGCTTGCTTGTCTTTTGCTTATCTATTATGGTTCCCAATTTTTGTTTTTATGGGTGTTTTGTGTGTGTATTTCTCATGCTTTTTCTTTCTTTTTTTTCTTTTTTCTCTCTGTTCTATTTTATTTATTTATTTTTTTAACTTTCATCATGGGCCTGTCTATTTTCTAAAGAGAAAGAAGGCATGTAGTTGGATGGGTAGGGAGGTGGGGGGGATCTGGGAGGAGATGGAAGAGGGTTAACCATGATCAGAATAAACTGAATGAAAAAATGGTTTTCAATAAAAATAAGTAATAAGTAAAAAGAATATGAACATAAACACCCTGTTTCTTTCCTATTACTTGTGTGTGTGTGTGTGTGTGTGTGTGTGTGAGAGAGAGAGAGAGAGAGAGAGAGAGAGAGAGAGAGAGAGAGAGAGAGAGAGAGTATACAATGGCATGAGCATGTGGTTTTTGTTTTTTTTGTGTGTGTGTGTGTGTGTGTGTGTGTGTGTGTGTGTGTGTGTGTAGGTCAAAGGACAACTTGCAAGTGTTAGTCCTCTATTTTCACTATGTGACTTCTGAGGATTGAACAACAGGCTTGGGGGCAAGGAAGTGCTTTACCCACACTCTCACTGTGGAAGACTACCAGCAGCAAGTGTCGGCTGCTATGTGAGTTTTCTCACTGAGACATTGATGGAAGTAATGTTAGATGGTTAAAGCACTTTGGAAAACTTTTGTTATCTCATAACTTTGAAGATAATTGTCACATACCCCAGTAATTCCATTCCTAGCTGCTTATCCACAGGGAAGGAAAGGGAAAACCCAACAGAGACCAATATTTCTTACTGTGAGAATAAGGCCTCATTTTCTTATTGTGAAAATTTTACATGCAAAATTCTCATGAAGCCGTTATTTTGCACAGTAGAGTGGCATCCATGCAAAGTGTACAGTTTGTATTACTTAATTATATCAGTTATATATGTTTTCTGGAATAAACTTATTTGTTTAGAATGTGTATAACAAATATTTTCTCTAATTTTATAGCTTGTCTTTTTATTTCTTTAGCTGTTTCCATCAAAGAGCAGATGTTATAGTTATAGGAATTATTTTTTTCCTACATGGGACTTTTTTCAATGTATTCTGTGAAATCTTTTCATTCTCCAAATTTTCTGTTTGTTTTTTTTTTCTTCTAGGTTTGTAGGTTTTTACATTTTTATCTATTATTCATTCAGACTTACTTTTTGCAAACAGTATGCAGAATGGCTTAAACTTTTTCCCCTTAAGAGAATGTAAAGTTGATCATTTGCTGAACAGAGCAGTCTTCTCTTAGTTAGTTTCCCTGACATGTTATAAGAAATAGATCCCATATTTATGGGTGCATTTCTGGGCCCTTTTCTCAGTAGTATGCATATGTCATTCTGTCTTCAATAACACACAGCTTTGATAGTGGTAGTTTTTAATACATACTGAATTCCAGCAATGTAAATTCTCGGTTGGATTATTGCTATACATACTTAGGTTCTCTGCTTTGTACTAAGTGATTCTTAATCTTGTGTGAAATCTGGAAATTGCATCTTTTCAGTAATTGTTCTTTTCCTAGTAGATGTTCTTTGCTCCATCTCATCCCACGTTGACCGTTGTGTGTGCACAGACTGTTACCCAGAGACTACGTGGACAGATTATGTATAGCTTCCTTCATCCTGTGACACATTCTAGTCACCTTGACTTCCTTCCTTGAACTCTTCCTTCCTGGCTCTCCTCCACTTGTTGAGGTTACTTGGTTCTGTTTGGGAGTTGCCTCCCTTTGCTGCTGTCTAGAAATAACTACTTAGCAGAAAGCTGTGGCAGTCGTAAGTAAGATTCCACTTCAGATTTTTCAGTCTCTTCCCGGCAAAGGTAGCCTGCACTAACTGGAGTCTACTATCTGAAAACAACAGCAGCTCTTACTTACATTTAACACAGCTTTCTAGGGCTTCTGAGATAGTTTTGTTTTTTTAAAAATGAAGGTTAAGTTGTTAGAACTTAAACTCATATAGTTTCATAAGTTCTATATATACTCTATATATAACTCGTATAGTTACATATAGTAAGTGAACTTGTAGCCGTTCACTGCCAGGTTTTTTCAACCTTTCTGCTTCCTCTTCCAAGATGATCCCTGACCCATGAGTGTGCGTGTGTGTGTGTGTGTGTGTGTGTGTGTGTGTGTGTGTGTGAGATATAGAGGTCTCATTTAAGAGTTAAGGCTGAGCATGGCATAGTCTCTTATTCTCTGTTCTTTGAGCAGTTATAGGTCTCTGTTAACCTCCATCTTCTACTCCATCTCCTCTGATGAGGCTTCAGAGATGCACTAATATGGATATAATAATAATAAGTCATCAGGAGTCAGTTTAGTACTATGTCATTTTAGCAGAGTTATAATAGTAGGTTCTCACCTGAGGCCCATGACCTGTCTAGCTACAGATTTTTGGCCATGATTACAGTACAAGGTATGATAATAACTAATAACAGTGCATTTCAGAATCAGTATAGCCTTCTCGTCATGAAGGTAGCAGTATAAACACATTCAGAATAAGAATACCCAAAATATATAATTCTGAATTGATTTAACAGACAGACTTAGGTATATTTAGGTTCCATAATTTCTGTAAGATGGCAAATGCCATAACTGATTATTTTGTTACAAATTTTTATTACAAAAGCAAATTTAATATAAATATTTTAAAGTAGATGTAACCAAATATAACCCAAATCAACAAAGTCTCAGTATAGTACCCACTCATTGCTTCACTTTCAACAACTCAATATCCTGTCTGTTCTACTCTTTAAGAGAAATGATGAGAAATTATGTGTATTTGGACCTGTTGAGAGCCCCAGATATGTACCAATAGAAGTTTGAGGGATTCAAACTTTAATTATATTTCCTTGCTAGCTTTAATAGATAATGGTAAACCATAATATATGTAGTCTATAAAATTATTGGAAACAAGAAAAGGGGCCGGGGGAAGCACTTTCTAGCTCATTTAAAGGCGAGTCAGTTCATTCATGTTTCTAAGGGGAAAAAAGACTATCTTTTTATTTTATAGTATAGTCAAGAAATAAGAATATATATATAATTCTTATTTCTTGACTATACTATATATATGGTATGTGATTTTTATATATTCACATATGTATGCTACGAAATGATTCAGTCAAGCAAATTGCCATATTCTTACCCCTACGTTCTTACTTTGTGTGAGACTGCTGGGCAGGTACAAAGTACATCACCATGCTGTACAGTGGATCGCCCAAACTCGCTCTGGTGGCTTACCTGAAGCTCAGTTCTCTTCAGCCACTATCTCTCAACCAGTTTACTCTTTGCCTCTGTGAGTTTGTCATTTTCCATTAACATATGCAGGTGAGGTCATAAAGTGTCAGCCAGAATCTAACTTAAGAGAAAACACTGATTTACCTTGGGTCCCCGTGGATCAGCATGAAGGTGGAGGCTATCTCCCTGCTTATGGTGTGAGGACTGGGTGAGTAGGAGGCCAAGAAGTGGAAGAGTGCTTGGTTCTCAGAGAGAGAGTGGGGAAATTCTTTCGGTCTCCTCCTCCTCTCTCTAGTAGGCAGTAGCAGGTGACTTCTGATAGGCAAAGTTTGCAAATGAAGAAATGAATTCATTAGAATGAATGAACACTCTGGGACTAGGAAGATAACTGTGCTAAGAGCATGACTGTCCGGGGCAGTAAGACCTTGACAGCAACTCCCTTCAGAGACTGGGATACAGTTTTGGCTGTGTACCAGGTCTGTCTTGAGGAAGGCAGCTTTCTCCAGAAAGACTGCCAGAAAAGTCTTTGTTATCATCCGTGGTCGGGCTGAGATAGTACACAAAGGTTCGTAACCAGCGGCAGAACTCCTTAGTCAAAAAGCTGTAGATAAAACAGGGTACTCAGTTAAGTTCGCTAGCTAGCAAGTAAGAAATTACTAGTGGCTAGTGTATAAGTGTCACGAGCAGACACTTCATTGAGCTTGTTCATTGTTGTGTACAACAATGCCTGCCGTGGAAATGGTACTCAGAAATAGTAGTGAATTGATTTATAAAAATTGCTTAATGAACGAACATACTGTACTTATAAAGTGACCAGAGAAATAACAGGAAAATGCTGATAAAGGATGAAAGGAGGTTCAGAGCTGATAAATAAATAAATAAATAGCTGATTAGATAAATGATTAAATGGTAATTGGTTTGTAAAATACCTTCACAGGGCAGGACAGGATAAGAAATAGCCAGCCAAGATTTTCATTGTTTATCAGTTCTATGCTACAAGATAGGAAAACCATTGTCTTATGAGTACAGACTCCATAGTTACAAATAAAACATGAGCAAGCTGATCAGAAACACATCTGAAGGATGCTCACAGTGTGTCTCAAGTGGGCTTTCTCTCAGAAATGCACCGATGTCTAAAGTAAGGATTCTATTGATATGATTTAATGAGATCCTTATTGAAAAGAAGACAACTATGTCTGAAAGCAATCATCAAATTCAGTGTCTTTTCTGAACATTTTAATGTCTTGTAACAAAATTAGAAAAAATGAGCACTTCTCAAGATTGATATGTTATTTCCTGGCCTTATGCATGTCACTAACTTTTAATTCAGTGGAGACAGCTGACATGTTCCCAGGTTAACTCACTCTTCATAGAATTTAGAGCATTTCCTGCTTTATCAAAATACTTAAGCTTTTTAGAAATTTGTTATAATAATTAGGGAGGTTGTGATACTGGGCTATTCTTCTTACATTTCTGGTCAGGAGTGCTTAATGAGAATTGGCAAATCCCTGACATGTGTTTCTCATTGTTTATCTTCTGTGTACACATATATGTGTTTTTATGTGCAGATATAAATGGAATCAATTAGGGGTCATTTTAATTCATCTTGTCTACTACGATTATTGTGCTAAACTGACATAGTACTAAACTGACTCTTCGGGCTATTCAGTACATCACACTTGCAAAACAGAGAAGTATATTGATAGATGCTTAAAGATTCTCCAAACCTTTGCCAAATATGGTTAATTACAAAATGAAGTTCTACTTGGTCAAGTCCAAAAACAGCAGTGTTACACCTGAGACCTCCTAGAGGAACAAGTGTTGTGGAGGGAAGAACCACTGTTTTTCCTGACAAGATTGCTTTGGGAACTTGGTGTAACTGAAGCGGCACTGTAAAGCACTGTGTTAGGTAGACCTGTGATTTCTGATGTCCTTAGTTCTAATTGTTTAGTATTTTTTTCTTCATTCTATGCATGTTTTTTTTTTATTCCCAATGTTCATGCCTTAGGGTATTTCACTGGAAGAGTTTGACAAGCTGTCTTTCAATATGATTTTAATGAGCCCTCCATGTCAGCCATTCACAAGGTATGTATAATAAATATTTTCTACTTAGGAAGAGTATGTGTGGGCTGAGGATATAGCTCAGTGGCAAATACTTGCCTAGCATGCATGAGGCCCTGGGTTCAAATCACAACACACATACATACACACCTCACTACAAATAAGAAAATAAAGAAAAATAACTAAAGAAAGAAAGAAGGAAGGAAAGAAAGAAAGGAAGGAAGGAAGAAAAAAGAGAGGAAGGAAGAGGGAAAGAGGAAAGAAGGAAGGGAATAATGAAGAACTTGGTAGACTACAGCTGCACTCTCATAGCTTTCAAATACTTTGTAAATGGATCCCTTCGTTCACTCATATGTATAATTGAGCATCCAACATAGGCATGGACAGTTATTGTCAGAAGAGAAAAATAATTTGATCAATAGTAGATATGTAATACTATGTTATAGGTATATTAAGGTACATTTATTTTTGTTTCAAATTACCTTAATTGCTTTAAACTGTTGAGCATTTGAGCATTTAGAGCCAGTTCTGATTAGTGAAACTGAATTTCCTTAGGAAATGTTTCATTTGTAAATTACTTATGTAAAAAATTGAAAGCTAACATAGCAGATATTTGCAAATTGTGTATTTATCAAAATTAACATTATAATTCAGATTTTTTCATAGCCACATTATAATTTCTCATTCAGATTTATGTAGTCATTGTCAACAATGTGTCTCAAGGAATTGTGTCTTAAACCAAATTCATTTTCTCTGTTTAACAAAATAAATTATTTTAAGTAGCCATATTAATGGAGTCTTATTGTTACTATTATTTTGTAGGTGAGAAACTGAGGCATAGAAAAGTTAACTTTTGGGGGGTGGGCTGGGGGGAAGGGGAGAGGGGCAGGAGGGGGGAGAACAAGGGAATCAGTGGCTGATATGTAGAACTGAATTGTATTGTAAAATAAAAAAAGAAACATAATCATAAAACATATTTTCTAAATTTTAATTTTAGGATATCCCAGTGGCTGTAGCTCTTTGATTAAGTATCTGATGCAAATAATCATCCCACATCCCAAAGAAACCTTTTCAAGGAAATTGTTTAATTTTCCCTCAAATATCCCAGATAGAATGCAAATACTTTCCCAAGTCTTAGTCTATTCTAGCTGAATTCAATTATGAAATGGTCCACTTTGACAAAAAGATAGGCTTTATTTTCTTTGGTACCAATGGGAATACTAAAATCATGCTGGAAGTATGCCAAGAAGAAACAGTTACAAGATCTAGTGACAGTAGTTTTCTTTTTAGAATTGCATGAGAACATGGTAATGGCCCAGGCAGTCACCTTGCTTAGTTAATTATCTAGTTGGCAACTCTGAAGCCCCAGAGTCGGCAATGCCTTTAGATAGCTAAACACATTCCTGTTGTGAAAAAAAAGTGCAGTGAGAGGATACAGAAACTACTTGAAGAAAGACAATGGGCAAGAGCCTTCATTCACTTATTTTACTCTATATCCTCATATCCGTTTTCCTTGTCCTCTTAGGTATCCATAAATCACATTTTTCAAGGAGACTTAATGGTGAAATTCCTTCCTCATCATTTACATCTGTTTGAATCAAGTAGGGATGAGGTGATTTTGCACAGGGATGAATATAAAAGTATCTCTGATACTTTTAGGTAGACAACAAAGCCTTATGAGAAAGGTTTTGTCCATATGAACCTCAGGCAACACATGCCTCAGGGCCACTCACTTGGAAAGTTTCTAGGTGATGGTCTTGACCAAATTCCATCAGTCAGTATTTAACCTTTTAATAAAGTTTGCTTTAATTTTGCAAAAAAAAAAGTTAACTTTCCCATAACTATACAGTTAGACAAAGGTCAGAACCATTATTTATTAATCATTTATAAATTTTTACTATATGACTGGCTGAAGTGTTATGTAATAAATATTTTGATTTAGATGAATATTCTTGTGTTGCATTTTAGCATCATTGAACTTGAGGAAGCTTATCTCCCTGGGGTTATTGTGCCCATGTGCCATACAGTGTGTTTGATGCTGTAGTTGCTGATCTGTGGAGTTATAATTGAAAGGAATGACTCATAAATTAGTGTTGTATAAACTGTGACATTTGGTACTGTAAGATCCCTGGTAGTACCATGAGAACACTGAGGACAACATGGCATGTGTCAGAGAAGACAGAGAAGGTGGCATATGAAAGTGGCTTTAAGCATGTGGGAGAGTGTGGCCTAGTGTGCACAGAGCAGAATTCATGTACTGCTGCGGTGGGCCCAGGATCTAACCTCCTCCCACCATCTTCACTGTATGTTAGCCTATTTCCAGCTGCTGATGCCAGCACTGACTCTATAGTTGTTATCTGAACTCTGGGCGGAAAGGGACAGAATATAAAAACTGAAGATTTCTGAGGAATCTGTTTAAGTCCAGTTTAATGTGACGGAGATGTCACATAGCTTAGGGCCATGAAGCCACTAATCACCGACGTAGAAACCCTGACCCTCTGCTCCTGTTATTCAGACCCCATCCAAGTGTTCCATTCTACTTGAACCTTGGCCATGCTGTGAACTTTGTCCGGTTTGTTTGCTAGCCTGGTGCTGCCTGATTCCGTGTGCTGACCCTAGTTTGTCCAAATCCGGAGATCAAGGGTCTGTTTACACCGGACAAGATTATCTCAGTATTCCTTATTGTCTAGTCTGTTGAAATGGTGGTTATCACCAGTGGCATCTGCTCTGGATTACTATCCACCCACCAGTGTGTTTTCTTTCTTTTCTGTTTTGTTTCTTATGGTGAAGATCAACTTACTTAAATTCTCTTAGTTGACCAAGTCATTTTGGTATCATTATATAAAATTTTTGATAATCTTTTTTTGTGTTTTCTTTGCTCTTTTAGAATTGGCCTACAGGGGGATATGACTGATCCAAGGGCAAATAGCTTCTTATATATTCTAGATATTCTCCCAAGGTAAAAATTTAGATTTTTGTAAACTTTCCTTAAATTTAAAACTATGGGCATGGAAGGATGTAATGTTTGCCATTTTGTAGAGATTAACAGTTGCCACATGCACCCTTCTCTTGTCAGAACTAATAAAATGACAACAAATGTCACTCCATAATGAGTGACAGAACTTTTAGTAACCAGCTACATTTTCTTGCCTCTGCTCATTCCTATTAGCCATGTAGATGTTGCCATGCTAGTGAACACTGCCACCGAGGCTGAATGGCAGCCAGTGCTAGTGAATGCTGCCACTGTGGCTGAGTGGCAGCCAGTGCTAGTGAATGCTGCCACCGTGGCTGAGTGGCAGCCCTTTGAGTTGTGCTGTGCAGAAGGCCTTTGAAAGCCAGATTTTGAGATGTGCTTCAATGGACATTAACTCCTCAAGTGTGAACTTTTCCAAGTATACCATGTCTTGGGAAAAATGAATAAAATAGGGTTTAAAATTCTTTTTAAAAAAAAATCTAGAAAGTTACTTAAACTTCCACTTCTCACAAGTTATGATTTTCTTTTTACTTCTTTGTAATGAAATAGTTGCATTTCTGTTTGGTTTTGGTTTTTAGATTACAAAACTTACCCAAGTATATTCTTCTAGAAAATGTTAAAGGTTTTGAAGTATCATCTACAAGGTAAAAAATTATATTTGTCTTGCATATGTCTTAGAACTGGGGGAGGAAAGTGAGGGAAACTGTGGTCAGGGTGTAATATGTGAGAGGAGATTGAAAAAATAAAATATTTGCTAAATTGAAAAATAAAAAAAATAAAATGTCATTTCTCAAGTAATAACCCAGGAGCCTTGTCTCTGAGTGGCTTGAGTAGAGTTGGGTTTTTCCTGATGATGAAGTATTGTGTGTGCTGTTATATAAGAATGCCATGTCTAAGCAAGGCCTGGGAACGTTTCTCTCCGACTCCTTTTCTCTTTCCAGAGGGCTGCTGATACAAACGATAGAAGCTTGTGGCTTTCAGCATCGAGAGTTTCTATTATCTCCTTCCTCTGTAGGTACCACAATTACAGACCCTTACGTAATTGATCATTTCAGGGCTTCCCCCACTGGGTATTTAATGTAATAACCAAATAGATCTATTTTTAATATTTCGTACAAGTGTTAAATCGGCTCAGATATGGCTCTTACTTTTTGAAGAACATGGTGCATGCTTGTTGATTTATTTGTACATAAAATAGGTTCATTAAATCTCATGCATTTTTCTTTTAGGAAAATAAACAAGTGTAGGTTTTGAAAATGAGTTCTACATGTTTAAATTAGGTGTTTGCATGCTATAATGCTCAAAGTAATCTAAGATTGAAAGCAAAGTGGACATATTATTTGTAATTCCTTTTTGTTACATGACGTTAGGTTGTAAGCATTGTTTTCATTTCATATAAGAAATCAAAGCACTTGTTATTTGAAAGATTGATTTTGTAAGTGTTGCTGTGTTTGTTGTTTTCTTTTTTTGTGTTTTATCATCATTAGCTATATTATATAGTTGTTTGTCCACAAATGAAAAGAAAATCTAGTTTAAAAATTTACTATGTAAATTGTCAGAACTGGCAGTGTAACTGGTCTCTTTAGCTTTATTTCAGATCATTGCCTCTTCTAGAGTATGCTAAATCCTCCTCTTCAAAAAGAAAAGTAATAATAGCAAGAATATCTATATTTGAAGTTAATGTTTTTACTGCTATTATATTATCAATAGCAAATACAAAATGTCTCTATTTCTTGTGAATTATGATCCATGGATACATGATTTGTCAGGGATAACCATTATTCAACGAAAGGTTCAGAGCAGCTATGTAACTGGCTTAGTTTCTTCTTTAAAGAAGACTTCCAAAAATCAGTAACAACATTTGCACTAGCAGAGACCGGGTGCATATCTTTGTGTAGGTGCTGAAGTTGCTCCAGATCTCCCCCATTCCATGTGGTAACTAACCTCTCTGCTCTGCTTGCAGCTCGGTGTTCCAAACTCAAGGCTACGGTATTTTCTCATTGCAAAGCGGCAGTCAGAGCCCTTCCCTTTTCAGGCCCCTGGTCAGGTATTGTTGCTGCTGCTGCTATTACTGTTTACTTGTGAATGGATCTCAGTTTGCCAGTTTCTTCTCAGTAACTGCTTAAGGCTTCTGTGTATAGGGTTTATAATACAGGCCATTTTCATGTCCATTCCAGGTCTCTGCTTCTCCTGATGTTTGCTTTTATCTCTGTTCTTTCTTTAGTTTGCTTTTCACTAAGCTAACTAAAGCTAAAACTCATAAAGGCTTCATAAGTTTAAAAATTATCGTTAGTATTGTTATCCCTTGTCTCCCCATAACTTCAAGGACCACTGACTTTTACATTTGTCATTCTCTCTTCCCAGTTAAAGCCATTGATGACTTCTGATGAAATGTAATGTGCTGTCTTTAAAATGGCCTGTTTAAACATATTTATTATACTTTCCCTGACGCCAATGTTATTTGTCTTAATTGGTTAAAAATGTAGTAATGATTAGTATAAGCTAATCATTAGCTTATACAAATTCTCAGCTGCTAAGTTGGGATTCTTGATGAATAATTTTATGTTTTCATGAGAAATGAGGAAAGGTAACAGTTTCAGTGGCTGAAAGAGCTTTGCTCTGCACAGTCATCTCCAGTACAGCTCACAGCCAGTCACTCTGCTAGTGAAGACCAGTTATCATTTTGACTCTCAGTGACAAGCTCTCTCTCATACTGGACAGTTCCAGAAACAATGTAAAAGCTATATTAGGGAAGACTTAATCACTAAAAATTCCTTGAGTAGTTTTCTCATTTATAAAATAGAAGTTTATACAAAATTATGAGTTTCCAAGTCAAATCATCCCCACTGCCCACCCCTCCATGGGAGACCCCATGGGACGTAAGTATTCTCAGTGAAAACACTGTGAGTTTTATTTTATGTTTTACAACATTCTCTTTTTAATGAAGGAGTTTGGTAATCTTTAGTTCTGTGCACAGTTTCCAATGCCAACATTGCTTTTTAAACTTACTTCTAGATGTGCTGCTGTGTTTATATTTGGTGAGCTTTTCCGTTAATAAGTACACCAAACAGGAATTCTGTGAAATAAGTCCTCTGCAGCTTACTTTCTGTATGGCTGTATGATTAATAACTTCTGACAATAACTCATGGACATAAAATCAAACCACAATGTCTGTCTTTTTAATGTCAACCTTATTATAAAGGCTAAAAAGGTTTCTACATGTTCTGTTGACATTATTGATTTATCTCTTATTTTAAGTAAAACTTTTATCAGTTTGTATTTTTTTATTTAATGCCAGATACTGATGGAGTTTCCTAAAATTGCAACTATACAGCCACAAAACTGTGCAGTAGTTGCAGAAGATAAGTTAAGAGTACAGAGAACTGAACCAAATATCTGCTTGGATAGCAGCAGCACACAGTGTTCTGGCAAAGATACCATTCTTTTTAAGCTTGAAACTGCAGAAGAAATTGACAGGAAACTCCAGCAGGACAGTGACCTCTCTGTGCAGATGCTGAAAGATTTTCTTGAAGATGATGACACAAATCAGTACTTTTTACCCCCCAAGTTATTGCTGCGATATGCTCTTTTATTGGATATTGTTAAGCCCACTTCCAGAAGGTCCATGTGCTTTACCAAAGGGTAAGTTTGAAAGCAGTTTCCTCCGTGTTGTATCTGAAATCATGGGTCGTAGCTTGCCTTTTAGTTTTTCTCAGAATAAGAAGTGTTTGATAAAATGTTTCTCTTAGCCTGACTTCTTTCCTAATTGCCAGTAGAGCATGAGTGAACATTCCTCGTGCAGAACATTCTGTGCACCACCCACAAAGTGTTCATAGAAGACAAGGTCATTTGTGAATGACCTTTGTATAGCTTAAGTACTTGCGTTAACATGATTCCTGTAGTTTGTGAATTGGTCTTATCACCTTTTTTTCTGTGAGACACATCAAACCTTGAGAATGATGTCTATTGGTGTATCAAAAGGAATTATATTTTAGTTTAAAGAAATAACATTGAATCATCCAGTTACAGTTTAAAAACTAAAACTTAGTAGGTCTTTAAATGTATTCTCATGTTCCAAAATTCAGAAGTTACTAAGATTATGAAACTCCCTACTCTATCTGTCTCTTGGCCATCTAGTGTCTTTTGTTACCAACCTGTGGTATCAATGTACTGCATGGCCTTCCAAAGGTGTTGTTGCTAATATTGCTTCTCGGGATGAACATAAAAGAACTTTCTCTCACTATGGCAAGAATGCCCCTATTCCTAATGTCCCAGCCACAAACTGAGGCATGATTCCACCAGAGTTTACTCTTGAGAACCAATGAGTTTATTGCATTTCCTTCCATAGCACAGATCAGGGGTTATTAAAGTGATGTGGGTACTCCTGACCCCCAGCAGGCTGCACCTGGAAAGTCTTTACCCGGTAGGGATGATGGCTTGCCTGTATCTGCACAGATGGAGGATCCTTTATCTAGTCTTCCCGGACCTTTCTACTCCAGTCCTCCCTGAAGCCGTATGCAGTGAAGGCCGAGTTGCACAGAACGGGCGGTAGGGAGCAGCTCGATTCTCGGGTGAAGTCTCTAACCCTCCCCACCCTCCATGAGAGGCAAAAACAGTCAGCAGGCCCAGCTGGGGTAAGCTTTCCTGAGAGAACATAGATGCTAACCCTCCCCAACCCTCCATGAGAGGCAAAAACAGTCAGCAGGCCCAGCTGGGGTAAGCTTTCCTGAGAGAACATAGATGAATTTCCAAAATGGTGGCTGCTGGCTTGGAGGGTAGTCACTCATAATCTTCTTTGGATATTGTTGCCATGGTAATATAAAAATCTTTTTTATGTTCATGGTAAAAGAGGATCGTAATTTGTTTTATTGGTTGCCTATGGTTGAATATTTTAGTGTTTATTTTGGTTTTTTTCTTGACTTATGACAATTTTTAAAAAGCTTAGAGTGATGGGGAAAATTGGACCTTTCAGGAAAAAAAAGTTAAAGACCCTATCTATTTTGTGCATGCCCCTCAACTTCATTCACTGGGGAGGCAGTTGTGTGATGTGACAGTTCAAACTGTCTTTTTGTCTGCTGGTTTTAGCCTCTCCTGCAGCCATATAGACTCAGCCTGATTTTATGATCTGCCTCTGTGCTTGCAGGAGAAAGAACTTATTACTTTAAAAGACTCCAGTCAGCTGTTATCTATTACCAAGTGCAATAGGTTCTGCTTAGGACTCTCATAAAATAGTACTTATCAATTTTGTAATAAAAAGCAACCTTGATATTCTCATGTAATAAAGATGACATAAAGGAAACCTTACTGTGGCAGTCTCTTCTGCTAAAGATGGCGCGCGTGCGCGCGCGCGCGCGCACACACACACACACACACACACACACACACACACACACATGTTTAACTGTGTAGCGCATATGAAGAGGCAGTGTGAAACAGTATTTATCCCTGATGTACTTTCCTAGTTTATAGTTTAAATTGTCCTTATCGTGAAAAGAGTGTTTATGTGGTGGAAAACCAGCTTGGCATCAACAGAAAAATAATGCTACCTTTCATTTCTGAAATATTGTATACTTCTTGTACAATTTTTAAACTAATTAATTCTTAAATGAAAATGATAATAAAAGAATACTGAGTTAATGAAAGTTAAACTCAGGTTTAGTTTCAGTGAACCACGTCTATGTGGTATTAGGGGGCTGAAGACTTTGGATGCTGAAAAGAAATTTTAATTCAGGCATTATAAAAATAATAGCAGTATGTTTTCATCTATACATTTGGTTTAATGTGGCATGGACTTTTGTAATATAGTGTGTACTTTCTAGTGAGGAACATTGCAAATATGATAATTAATAAAAAATGCTAATACATCATTCAGTGGTGTTTCTACAACTCAACTGCCATGTGTAGTTTCTGAGAAGTTTAGATAGAATTATGTCTTTTGTCTTATTTTAAATTACAAAGCATATTTATATACTATTACTCAAGATGTTTCAGAAGAATATAAATGTATGTCATCCAAGAAATACTTTATCACTTAGAAATATTTTTTAGAGAGATCTTGGGGTATTCTCAGGTCAGGACAGTTGTTCTTAATCAGAATCCATGTCAAATATAGTTAGGCATGGTGGCATGCACCTGCGACCTCAGCTCTGGGGAAGTGAGAACAGCAGATCTCTGGGCCTTGCTGGCTGGCCAGCTTAACCTGTTTGGTGTGTTTGATACCAATGAGAGAGCCTGTCTCCAAAAAAACATTGGATTATGCTTGAGGCATGACACCCAGGGTTATCCTCAGACCTTCACACACAGGCACATACATGCACACCTACATACACATAAACAGCACATAGACTCACACATGAGTACAGATGCGCGCGCGCACACACACACACACACACACACACACACACACACACACAGATATTTGGCATTAAAATACATTGGATATTGTGTATTATTCATGTGAATTTTTCAGGTACGGAAGCTACATTGAAGGGACAGGCTCAGTGTTACAGACTGCAGAGGATGTGCAGGTACCATGTATGTTTTTTAACTCAAACTTACCATTCAATAACATTAAATATTTCATTTAAGAATATTAAAATAAGTTTCAATGGCCGTTGTTGAGCCAATTGTACAGCTGTTGTGCGGGGATACTTTGCTTATACTTCTGCTACCATGTGGCACAGCAGATTGTTCATCCACTGTCCTTAAGCTGTTTCACAACCAGAAATGTTAAGTTGGGTCACTCAGTATTTTTTAATTTCTCTTGCATCTTTTTTTAACAGATTGAGAATATCTTCAAATCTCTTAATGATTTGCCACCAGAAGAAAAGATAGCTAAGTTGTCACTGCTTAAACTGCGATATTTCACACCCAGAGAAATTGCAAACCTCCAGGGATTTCCTCCAGAATTCGGTATGTGGGATCCATGTAGACCACAGCGTTCCTTTATTTGAGTTCTCAGAGTTTTGTTAGGAACTCACATGTGATTTTGTGAATGAATCCGTGCATGACAGGTGAGTTTAGGAATCCCCCTGCTTTCTGCTGTGACAGCGTTGGCGTTTCCCTGACTGGTCTGCACTGCAGTCATGGCTCAGGCAGTTCCCTTCTGACCCTGTTTTTCCCTTACATCTGGTAGTGAGTCAGTCCACTCGGGCTGAGGGTAAAATAGTGATTACTAACTCCCTCAGGCAGTGGATAGAATCCCCTTTCTATTTACATCTTTGTTTCCAGAGGTCCGAACTTGAAAAGTCCACACTAGATTGTGTGTGGAGGGGGAAAAATCCCTTCAATTGTCTCATTTTGTTGTTATTTTTATTAACTGAGGGCCTCAACTATGCTACACCAAGCTACATTCCCCTGCCTTTCCCTTTGTAATTATTTTTATAATGAGACAGGCTCTTTTGAAGTTGACCAGGTAGTCATGAGGCTACTTTTTAGCCCAGGTGCTCCTTGAACTCATGGTCCTCTTCCTCCTCCTCAGCCCCCTCGGTAGCTGGGATTACAGGCTATACAGCAGACTCTGCTAGGCCCGATTGGCATTTTCACAGTAAGAAGGTAAAGGGTAGTTGAGTTAACCAGTTGTTGGATACGGCTTGTATTTGTGGTTGTTTTTTCACTTGGGCAAAACTACATTATCAGTTATTTGCCTTTGTTCTTCGCTATAAGGAATGTAAGGGGCACTCAAGATCCTTAGGGGATCTACAGCAGGGGAATTTACAAACAAAAGCAAAGACAGAGGGAAGCCAAAGTCCTAACTCCACCATAGTGCAGGAAATCCAGGGATTAGTGCCACGAAGCTTGGACACTGCCCTGTGTCCTTGCAGTGACTCCAAGCTACCCCCCCCCCCCCCCATTCCATTGCCACCAGTGCTCAGCTCTAAGAGATACATGTTTTCTTACACCAGGGCTCAGGTGCTCTCCATACCTGGCTAAACGGGCAGAGGCACAAACAGACCCGCCCAGCATGCCTCCAAGGCCAAGGAGGAGGAACTCTGCCTCTGAGAACTCTGCTTGAGGATTTGAATATAGAAGGGAGATTTATTACATCCAGTAGAGTTGTGATATCGATGCATGTTTGTGAGGTGAATAATGGGCCAAAGAGATTGGGTTTCAGATTCTGAATAATGAACTTACAGATGAGATCTTGGAACACAGTCCTCTCGTACTGACAAGTTGGCCGTCCCACTTAACTGCTCCCAGTATTTGCTTCTGTGAACATAATCACAGCAGCCGGGCTTATTTTCTGCTCCCTGTCCTTTGAAAGTTTATCACTGTGGAAATTTGCATTTGTAAGTGTAGGTGTTGCTTTATGTGTGTGTTTGTGTGTATAACAATAACAATTGAAAAAAAGACCATAATTTTGAGAGGGAGCAGGAGTGAGGGCATAGGAGAGAGACGTGGGGGTAAAGAGAAGTGGAAATGCTCTAATTTTATTCTACTTTTTTTTAATTTAAGAAAAAAAATTACTATTTTTCCCTTTTTTCCTCTTTTGGTCATCTCATTCAATCCTCAGTGTTTTAGCGATTGTCACTAAAGAAAGGAAGACTTTCCTTGGTTTATGTCACAAAGGGAGAGAGCTTGTAGAAACTGAGGGTTGGACTCACTTCCGGTTTCCAGTCTGCTTTCCTAGTTACTATTCTCTTCGTATTTTGAACAAGCAGATGTAGTCGCATACTACTTAAAAGTATTGATTGTCTAATCAAAATGAGTTCCTAAGTCTTAGTACACTGATTATTTTACCTCTAGAGTTGTGGTCACCATGGTAATATTGAAACTTGATAAGGGATTTGGAGGGCCAGAGTCAGACCAAGCTATAGTCTTTGTTTGCTCTACCTTAGATTAACTTTTCTGTTTCAGTTTACGTGTTTGTAAAATGTAGATATAACACCCACTTTATGAGGTGTTATGACAATTGACTGAGTTAGTATAGTTAAATGGCTATATAATATCCTAGAAAAATTATGTTGGTTTTAATTTTTAAATTATAGAGAAATAATTTTTAAATATTACATTATTTATTTGTGTGTGCACACATGTGAAAGTGCCATGATGTATGTGTAGATCAAAAGATACCTTGCAGGAGTTGGTTCTCTCTTTTTATCATATAGGTCTCATAAACTCATGTCTTAGGCAATGGCACTGAGCCAGCTTGGTAGACCCTAGAGATGGGTACTGTTTATTTTATAAATTTCATGAATATTTTTTCTGTTTTAAAATTTGAGGTGAGTAAAATAGATTTTCTTGAGGTTCTTCAAATATATTCTGTATACAGAATTTATATGAAGAGTCTCTTAATTTTTAATTCCATTTAATTTGTAACATTTTTTAGATTAAAATACAATCACATCATTTTCCTTCCCTTTTATCCCTCCAACCCCTCCCATGTGTCCCCTCCTCATTCTTTCTCAAATTCATAGCCTCATTTTTTTGTTATTGTTACATATTTTAAATTGCCGAATTCTCTTTTAAAATATATGATATGCTTGTGTTGACAGTCTTGCCCAGATGTTACTGTAGAACATGACACAACTGTCCTTCATGTGTGCTTCCAACGTAGGCTGTGGGTACAAAACTGGACATTGTCTGAGCCATTTGTCCCCTGGCAGTGATGGATTCATATCGATCTTTCTGTTCATTTTGTCCTGGTGTCTTGTGACTGACAACTTGCATGTCTGTGACTAGTTGGCTTTAGGAGAGAGACACTGACCTTTACTGGGAGAAAACTGCTGTCTTGACCTTGTACATTCTATGTGGTTTTGTTTTTGAAGACTATTGTTACTTTAGTATATCAAGTTTTTTTTTTAAATCATCTTTTAACTTAAAAACTATTTAATTTTTCTATCACTTAGTTTAGACTTTAATATCTATATAAAATAAAATTCTGTTTCTAAACTCACCTTTCCCTTTAGTGTAATCTTAATAATGCAAAAGATCATTCCCTAGGATAGTATAAAAGGTTATTTATAAACACATTTGTATCTCTGGTTTTTGGAATTAAATAGTCTTTGAGATTAGTAATGTGGATGCCTGCGACTCACTGTCTGTAGCATGTAAGCTTTACAGTCATTCTTAATTGAGGATGACAAGGTTATTATAGTATTTATTGTTGTCTTATTACAGTTACTATGGAGTCTAACACTGGTGAAGCTATTTTATGTAATGGTCCTTCATTACAAATATATGAAATTGTACTATCCTTAATGTTCTTAATTATTTCCTTTGTCTTATTCTCTAATTTTCTTTTGCTTCATTTGTTATTATGTCAAATCTTACTGTATGTGACTAAATCAGATAAGAGAAAATCAGTTTATAGAAGCAAACTATGAAAACCAGCTATATACAGGACATATAAAGACCTCCACAACTCAACAATAAAAAGAAAATAATCCAACGTAAAAATGTGAAAATGGTTTGAATATACATTTTTTCAAGAAGATAGGAAAATAGCCAATAAACACATGAAATGGATGTTAAACATCATTAGTTATTAGAGAAATGTAAGTGAAACCACTGTGAAATATTCCTTCATATTCACTAGAGTAAAATGAAACAGTGCTAATGTCTCTGCAAACATTAAACTCATACATGACTCAGCAGTTTTACCTCTAGATACACAGCCAAGAAAAGATTCCCATAACATGTATATATTATTACATATAATATCCCAAGGTAGAAACAACTCAAATGTTTACCAGTGAATGAATGAATAAACAAAATATGTCTCCTCCATTACAAATATTATTAAGTAATAAAAAGTAAGTACTGAATTTTACTATAATGTGAATGAATTATTCTAACTGTAAAGAGACAGACATAGAACATATCCCTTGATTCCGTGTATATGAAATTAGAATAGCCAGATCTGTAGTAGCATCAAAAAGTAGTGGTTGAGGGTAGACAAAGACAAGGAGCAGGGAGTGACTGGTTGCCAATGGGTACAAGGGTATTTTTATTTTGAAGCAATTGAAATGAAGATGTTTGAGAACTCTATCCTAAAATGCATGAGGCATATATTTTAAAAGGTAAATTTTATGGTATGTGAAGTAGAGCTTCATAAAAGTGTTGTTTAAAAAAAAAACCTACCAAGAAAAATAGTAGCAACCATTTTTTCCAAGTGTAATAACCCATGTTTCTGTGAACTCATGAGTATGTGTTTGCATTAACCATACTCTGATACTATATTATTGTGTTATACCGCACCTTGTTGTATAACATTATAGCATGATGTTATATAGTATTTGGGCCTCCAAATTCTCATGTATTTGTAAAATTTCATGGTCATATTAGCCATCTACCATCTTTAGTGTTTAGCTATGGATATACTTTCTTGGTATTGTGTCCTTAGGCAATTTCATGGGTGAGCATCCTAGAGTATGCTTACACAAATGCAACTGCAACATCACAAGGTGGTACATTGTATGGTCCTCCATCATGCATAGGGCCTTCATTGACCATAACACTGCC